AGCTCTCCCACACGGTGGTGAGACACCGCCCCAACGCGCAGCACACCTTCTTCCTTGAACACCCAACGAGACAAGGCAACAGCCAGCTCATAATTACCAGTCTGTGAATACCTAGAAATGAGGGAAGACAAAGAAAACATGAAAATCACTCCAAAAAACAAAACTATCAAAAGCAAAACCAAAGCAAGAAAAAGCTATCCTGAGTTTAAGAGAATTACTTTTCAAAGCACCTCAAGGCCAAAGGAACCTATCACACGCTGTTTGCATTCAAGCTTCTTGCTGTTTCTAATAGCATGAGCATTGACAGTTGCCTATTTCCTTGATCACACAGCCCCCCAGGTACGCCTCATGAAGGGATGCCAGGAGGCTGGTGTACCGTTTGGAGCCAGGAGTAGCTTTCTGCACAGCAGAATTAAAGAAAGCATCACTAAAGAAATCCAGAGAGCCACTGAAAACAACGCGAGCGTTGTTCCTTGCTTGGAGTCCTGCAATCAGAAGGGTGTTCTTCCCAACTGCATGCGGGTACTGAAAAGAAGCACATTTAAAAGAGCATTTAGTCAACTTAAAGGTAATTAAAGAAGAGTTCAACAGTCTCCAAGTTATCTGATTTCATTACTGCCACAAGTTTGCTTTCAGATGGATAAGTCTGACCACAGATAGCACGCTTCACAGTTCAACAGAAACCAAGCACCTCAGCTAACTACTCAGAACAACCACAAATGGAATTTACAATGTTTTGCTTTTACACTCTCCTTGGAATGAAGCCACTTAAAGGAAATATACTTTGGAAAAACTATCAGCCTACATCAAAGTATCACTCACGCAGGACATTTTCCCACCAACAAAAAGCAAGGAGGAAGATTCTCAAGGAGACATCTGAAAGCCCGACACTTTCAGAATCAACCAACAGTTTAACCATGCAAACATTCATTTCTCAAAGTTGCTGAAATCTAAGGGACTTGACTAAAGAGAAAAAGTAAAGGAATGTACCTGAGTTATGGGTTTATCTGGGAAGAAAGAATATGAGGTAGAAGAGCCAGTCAGGATATCCAGCACCAGGGGGTTGTCAGGATCAGCCACCATCCTTGTGGGGAGAGAGACAATGAGCAACATCAACAACCAGAGGGAGCTGTAGGCACTGACTATGCTGCACAAACCTCTTTATCCTTGGATGCAATTAAAAAGCTGCAGAATTTGCACACTTACAGAAAGGAACTACTATCTTGAGATATTCTGTCAAACTTCATTAATTTATATTAAGAAACATCACTGAGGCAAAAAAAGGAAGCTGTTTTGGCAATTTTCTTTTGGTTATATCTGAAATGAAGGCAGATTGCTCACACTAGGCTACCCCGGCCCTTAGCTCACATCAGCGCAAAGGTTTTTGCTTCCTCAGAAGCAGCCACCTGGCTATGGCAAGTCACTTACCCAACTCCTCGGAAGAGAATGGGGTTCAGTGCTTTTTTCCCCACAATGGTGGGGGCCTTCAGGAGATTTTCAGCATCTGCTACTATAAGTGTGTGCTTGGAGGAAGCAAGAGAGATCCGTGTAAATGCATTGCACAGGCAAATATATTTACATATACTTACACTAATTGTCAGGTTTTAGGACAGCAAGCAACAGCTTCTCTTTCTATCTGAAAGTCAACTTTGTTTTTACAGGCCATCAAAACTAAACAACTATTGTATGAATGTTATAACTTCATTAAAAAGAAAATCAGAAAAACAGTCCTTTTGTTTAACTACAGTAAATCAGATATGAAGATATATCAGGAAATATAAAACACCCTTTTGATAAAAATAGTAACACTTCGGTAGTTGACTTCCCTGAGTAGCTTTCACCTTTAAGACAGGAGAGCATCCACATACTGCTTAAACAGTTTCTTTTAAGTAAAAACTATCATAGTAAGTTCAGACCTTAATAGAAGGTTTTCATGTTTAAGCACTGACTAGCAAAAGGAAAGAAAACATGGAAACATGCACTTCTACAAAGATCTCTCAGTAGCATCCCGAACTAAAAATTACTCTTCCTGCACCTCAAAGTGTCACTTGTAAAGTTCTTTTTCTCAACCTACCACAAGCAAACCAAACACACACGTCAGTGCGTGAAACAGATGCAGTGACACTGACACTCTCCAGGGTAGCAGTAAGATCAAATCCAGGAAATTCAGGAAAATGGATTCAGGGCAGACTTCCCCACACACAGTGCTGCACTACTGTGCAAGCACTCTGACTGCTGCACCACTGGATGCTGTTGAGCAACATTCCGTACGACTTTATTGTGAACAGCAGAGAAGCGATGGAAGTAAGGAAGGAAAATAAGGATGGAAGATTCATCTCTCAACCTTTACATACATGTTCCCATTAACAAAACCCCAAACGTGCAGGCAAAGATGCTCACCTGGCCTGGGTCTGATATATCATAGCTGTGATGGTCAATGACAGCTGTCCTTTCTTCATCAAACTCTATCCCACACTCACTTCCTAGCTCCCGCAGTGGGTCACCTGAAAGGAGAACACCATTACGTGGCAGGCTCAGAAGAATGCAACCCAGTCTCAACACTCAAAATATGTTTAACTGAGGGTGACACATTCAGCAGTCTACCAACCAAACTCTGAGCACTGCAACCTCCCTCTGCTAAATTCCCATTCAAAAATGGAAATTAAGGCTGTTTTCATTTCTCACCCCAGGTCAATCATCCATTTTCTCAGAGCACAAATCTTGAGGTTCATAACTATGCACATGAAGCACATCTACTGAAGGCTCTCATACACAAATAACCAGAAAAGACCTCTTCTCAAGCATTTCTCCAGCACCTCTAGGAAGTGCAAAGCTGAAAGTCACTGCCCTATGAGCTAATCAGGTATTGTGTTTTTCCCACTGCATTTATTTTTCAGGAGCTCCCAGGAAGAAGACTGCACCGCCTGCTCGCTGCAGGTATGTGTGACAGGGGTGACACGTAGCAATGTGCTCCATGGCCCAAAAGGCACCACACTCACCAATGTCTGAGCTGGCAGCCACCAGGACACTGCCACCACCATCAATAAAAGCAGTAATGGTCTCCACATTGATGTTTCCTCCAAAATCTGCAAGTGCACACAAACAGCTCATGACTGTCCCATGCCAGAGCCTTGTCTTTCACAACCACCCCAGAACGGCCTCCAGCCCCTCCCTGAAGCACTGCTGAAGCACTTCCCCAGCTCATACCCTCAATGGATGGTGAGAAGATGATCAGGTTGTCATACAGGAACTCCCCGTACTTGATCAAGGAGAGGCCAGCATCATCCGCAGTCCGGAAAGTGAGCTCAAAGCCCCTGTCTGTAGCCATGACACACAGAATTGTTAAGCTTGGAAAACACTAGTGAGATCATCCAGTCCTACAGCCAACCCACCCCCACAACACCCACTATGTCCCCCAGTGCCACATCTTCACAGCTCCTGAACAGCTCCAGGGACTCCACCACTTCCCTAGGTAGTCTGTACCAAAGCATCACCACTCTTTCTGAGAAAAAATTGTCTTTGATCAAACCAGAACATCCCCTGGCACAACGTGAGGCCATCACCTCCGGACCTATCCCTGTAGGCTGGGCACAGAGGCCATCCCCACCTCACACAACCTCCTTTCTGGAGTTAGAGAAAAGGATAAGGTCCCCCCTTAGCCTCCTCTTCTCCAGACTGACCCATCCCAGCTCCCCCAGCCGCTCCCCATAGCGCTGCTCTTCAGAGCCCTCACAGCTCTGCTCCCCTCTCCAGACCCGCTCCCGCGCCTCGATACCCTTCTCGCAGCGAAGGCCCCAACCCCGCACACAGCACTCGGGACACCCCGCCCTACCCGCCAGGCTACGGAAGAAGAGCGAGTGCGTGTCCCGCAGGTTGCCGTTCTCCAGCAGCACCAGGGTGCGCGGCCCAGCCTTAGCCGCCGCCACCGCTGCCAGCAGCCACCACAGCCGCACCACGGCCGCCGCCATTTTCTCGCCGGTGCGGGGCATCCTGGGAAAGAGGCGGGTGCAAGGAATCAGTCAATGGGCTCCAAGCGCAGCGCCCCGGCTGTCCAATCAGCGACGGCCAGCTCCCCGCTGGAAACGGGAAGGAACGAAGTTGTCACGTGGCACCGCCCGCGCAGGGTCGGGGTGCGCGGGAAATGGAGGCGGGCGCAGTGCACCCCGCGGTTACCCGAGCATCTCGCGATAAGGCTTAGAAATACTGCAGAATGCGATGAAAAGCACTGTATCCTGGGCGCAGCGCGACAGCAGTGTCCTCGTGGTAGGGAAACGGCTCAGCCCCGTTTGGGTAAAGCCCTCCTCAGCATCTGAGAGTAATGTAAATTTACAGCAATAAAAGTCATTCTTCTCACCGGAAGGAACCGAATAGCCTAAAATGAGCGATTTTAGGGGATCCAAAAGGGGCAGCTCCTGCTCGACATAGGTCTTCGGGGCTCCTCTGCTAAAGCTGCCGGCTGGCACCAGCTGAGCACGCACCCGGGCAGCCCGCACACAGCGCCCAGTCCTAACCCTGCCATGTCCCAGCACTCTCAGAGCCCTGGCAGGACGGGCGCAGCTCAGGGCTGCTTCTTCACACTCAGCTAAAAGAGTTCTTTCTGGCAGGGTTACGCTGTGGCAGTGCTGGAACTGCCGAGAGAAGAAACAGCGTTAAAGGGCTGTCCTCTCTGCAGTAATATCGTATTCCCCGATCCCAACAACATTGCTAATGATTGGACTAACAGGGGTGCCTCGGGGAGCCATGCAGTGATTCGTCTCCAGTGAGCAGCTGAAGATGCGGATCAGACAGCAGTCACAAGAGCCGTTGAGAGTCTTGTCTTACAGGAGGGCAATGTGTCTCTTGGGCAGAGGCAGCTCCAGATGATGAGAATCACACAGGGACCCAAAATTCAATCAATTAAAGCTTAGTATGAGGCTTCAGGAAAGTCCACCCAAGCCTAGATGCTGCCTCGCCTTAATCACTCAAGCTTTTAAACAAGACCTGTAATATCCCCTTTGTAGGGCTTTTTCATTAACATCAAAGTGATTTGAGATCCTAGGAGGAACAGCTTTAAAAAGGGCATCTGATTTGTTTAAACAGTAATGGCAAATTCACTCCCTACCGAAGGCACGCAGAGAATGGACAGCTTAGCAGGGAATCCTATGCCAGCTCCCCAGTTTGTATCACCTGCTTGCCCAAATTTTTTGTGTAGCCCCAGCGAGTTTTGTCCTCATTAAGTTGTTATTCAGACTTGGCGGGAAGGCAGAAGCCTCCACTGTACGCAGAAGATGACAGAAGTGAGTGTGGTCCAATTGCCATTTATTGACCTGCTGGTGAGCCCAGGAGAAGCCATGGAATGGCACTGTGACCCCGATACTCCTCTTACCTACGGGCAGGTGTTTTGTTTTTTCTTGCAATGTCAGGCTCTGGAATTTTCCAGCAGCCAGACTCCTCATCCCAGACAGACTTGCACTTGATCTTCACATTGCTGTAGTTGCAGTCCCACTGGATGAGGAACTGCACCTGATTCAGCAGCTGCTGGAAGAGCCTCATGTCTTGCTCCAGACTGCGACTGGTGCTGAGATAACCAATCTTTTCCAGCTCAAACTCTGACTGCAGATCTTTGATTTCTGTCTCAGCAGCTCGCAACTGGGTCATAAAGACAACAAAATGGCTAGTTGGGATTATGACAGAGAGAGAAAGGGGGTTACTACAAGCACAGACATTGGTTAGACACAGAAATGGGAATTAGTCAGATGGTTTATTCAGAGGTATGTGATAGAACCAAAACTTGGCCAAAGTAGATCAGCAGCTTACACTTTCATTGTCCGTTGTGCAAGAATGAGAAAGTGCTTATAGAAGAGGAATGGTTGGCAAACCAAGAACGCCGAAGGGGCTCTGTGATCAGGATTTACACTCAACTGAAGCCAACAATTTAACAAAATTCAAAACACAAAGGAGTTAATAAGAACTTACTGTTACCGTCCACTCTTAAAAACAAAAACCTTAGTGTTTTCTAACTTAAAATTAATGATTAGGATGAGATTTTATCTGGAAAGAGAATTCCACATTGGTTTAAACTGAAGACTTGACACATCATCCCATAAATTACTGAGGCTTCAGATGGGCTTACATTTTCACCATGTGTTCCCTGTCGTGTGCTAACAAAGTCATGGGATTCCTATTTTAGATGAAAAAGGTGCCATACTTCTTTGGTAACCTAAATTAATCGAGTTCTTAACGTGCAGATTTCTGAGGCATAGGCGCATGTTTTTGAAACTCCAGTGATTCTGCCTCATGTTATCAGAGCAAAACTGATTTTCAAGCATGCCTAAGATGTAAGGATGCTGCTTATGTATATAAAAATAATATGCGTTTATATTTTTAAATATATTTTTTCCCAGGAAACTTTGCACAGCTCATTTTCTTGGGTGATCAGAACGGGTGCTGCTGAGGATGTAGTGAGCAGTGTAAGTCAGTAGAGGGAGTCGCATCCCCTCCCATAACAAATGGGTTAGTCTGGGCGTCCTGTTACACAATAAGGAGGCCAGCTTTTAAAACCCTTGGGGAAGGGGGGGAGTTTGAGAAGGCTGGAGTCGTGGAACAACTTAGTTCCAACAGTTCCTAAAAATGCATGCAGTGGAGCTGGACTCGGTGATCCCCGTGGGTCCCTTCCCACTCCAGAAATTCTCCGGGTCTAATCAACATTGTAGGTACTAACACAGGCACACACGTGGCATGTTAGATACAGATGCCATCATTCTGTAACCATACTACCCTAAGGTATCTCATTAACATTAAAAAAATGGATAAGCAGAGAAGGGAAAATGGATGAGGAAGTGTTGAACTAAGGAGTGAAAAAGCCGTCCTCAGAATAATCCCAGTGCACGCTCCCTGAATCGGAAGCAGGGAACTGTTTTTGCAGACTCACCTTCTTCTGTATCTTCTCCAGAAGTTTGCTCTTGTCTCAAACCTCCTCCTGGACGGAGTCGTGGACATTAAGCAGAACCAAATCACTGCTGTCATCATCGGATTTCTGCAGCACGGTCACCAGCTGCATCCTCTGCTCATTTGCAAACTTTTTCTAGTGTTATGCTTCTCCTCGAGGTCCTCGTTTTCAGCCTCTTCTCCCCTTACCACTTGTTCTAGCATCTGCAGCCTGGAAAACACAAGTGCTTCTCTTAGTTGAGCATTACAAGGAAGCATTTGTGTAGCTGTGAAAGATGAACTTCCGTACTTGAACAATGCTTGAGACAACACCATACAGAAATAGCGACTCCTTGGGAGATTTGCTGTCCTGAGTAATCATGGCAAATTCCATTTTTCATAACAGTTTGCTATATATGAACTCCATATGAGTATACATGTCAGAAACATGATGGCAAAGGTGATCAGAATAACAAGTGCAACTGAGAGTCTGTCTACATGCACAGAATTGCTTAAAAAAAAAAAAAAAAAAGCATTTTGTGGAATTTATATTTCAATTATTATTTCTTGTTTGGAAAGGCTCTCAAAGCAAGTGCAGGAGGTGCTGAAATGATGCAAATATATTTCAAATGGCAGACGTCACAGTGGTAAGGCTGTAAGCCATAATACAGTTTCTTCTTTGGAGCAGTATCAGATGGATTAAATGATGTGGGCTACCTCAGCGTTGCCACCTGCATGCAGGCACAGGCCCATGTTTCAAACCAAGCTTATGTCACATCCACACTGCACAGTCCCACACACTGACATGGGTAGGAAGCAAGCCCTGCAGGAGCCAGGACTGCTGTTCTCACAGCACTGTGACCTTTCCAAGCAGACAAGGGGTTTGTAGGTAGCCTGAGGCACAATGGAACGCTGCAAACTCTTCGTTCAAACATAGTAGTAGTGGTGTTCTCTTTATGCCAGTCTGGGTGTGCACCAGTCTGCCTTTTTAAGGGCAACAGTGATTTAGTCCTGGTGATCTTAAACCAGCAGTAAAACTCCTGGAAGGGAGATAAATATTCAACAGAGTGCTGAGCGCACGCATTCTGCTAATCCCTGGTGTGAATTCAGATCCCAGGCTGCTCGCCCCTCGTGCCACTGCACTGGTGTGGCAAACAACTCCAGGCACCACTTCCTGGTGCAGCTGGTGCCTGTTCGGACAAGGCACACTGCACTCCCAAGCTGCTAGCTGCTCTCTTTGTCTGCACTCACATCTGTATCAGGGTCACCAGCACTGGCTCAGATTGGAGAAAATCCCGCTGCTGATAAAACCTCTGCTGATAATAGGCTCTTAATGATCTTCAAACACACTGGAAAGAGCTCATTCTCCACCAGAGATGACCTGTTGTTCTACTTCCCTGCAGTTTCATAGATTCATAGAATGGTTTGGGTTGGAAGGGACCTTTATAAGATCATCTAGTTCCAACCCCTGCCATAGGCAGGGATACCTCCTGCTAGACCAGCATCCCTCTAGACCAGAAAGAAAAACCTCACCTGGTGAAAACTCAACCCAGGACAAATCATGCTTGACCAGACAGGTTGCCTTTTACAATTAAAGGACTGGCTATGCAGGTTAGGGTAAAGCAGCAGATAACATGTTGATTTTAGCAGGGCTTCTGACACCATCTTTTACAGTATAAGCATTTGAAGCTGTGAAAGCACAGGCTGAAAGAAGAGTCCACTTGACACTAAATGCATCAAAAACTGGCAGGATCACCAAAATCAAAAAGCAGTGATCAATAGCTTGATGTCTTGTGTGTAGCAGGTTACCCCAGGGGCTCATGCTGGGGCCAATATAATTCAGTATCTTAAACAAGAACATGAGTGATGTGACAGAAAACATGCTCAGCAATTCTGAGAATGATGCTAAATTGAAGATGAGAATGGACATGTCAAACAGCAGATCTTCAGTACAAGGAAACCTTGAAAGATTTCAGGCCTGTGCCAACAGAAACTTCATGAAGGTCAACAAGGAGAAGCACAGACTCTGCACTGCTACAAGATAAACTCTGCCCTGCTGGAAAGGATCTGGGATTGTATTGGGTATCAGGTTAAAAAGAAAATAGTAATATACACTCACTGCAAATAAAGCAAACTGTGCAGCGGGCTGAGTTATGAGGTGCAGTGGTCTGTAATATCAATGGCCAAGATGGTCAGCAGCCTACAGCACACATTTCTGCAGGTGGAGGGAGAATCAAGGGTCAATCTTAAAGTAGCTGAATAGGGTGTGAGTTGCCAAGCAGCTTTCAGTTTTGTTTGCTTAATGTAGGACTGAATCCTGCCTGCTCTGCTGACTCTCAGCCACCCTGTGGTGTAAAGCATTTAAAAAGTGACTTTGAAAATTCCACACCTGTGGAATCAAACCCTCCTGCCTAATCTGCAGCAACTCCGATTTTAACAATGCAGTTGGCATTTTTCCTCCCTTATCACAGGAAGAAAAACTTCAGGCACTAAGACTATTAAGATTTGATATATCGTCAAAACAAATGGTTTCTTTGGAGCCATCTCCATCAACAGACACAACTCCCCACAAATTACAGACAGTGCTATCCTAGATTTGTTAATAGCTCCTTTTGCAGGTGGGAGAGGCCCAGCACAGTGACCGTGTGTCACGGAAGCTCACAGAGATCAGCCATGTGGAGATGTGACTCCGCACCCCTCACACCCTCGCCATGAGATTCAGGCCCTGGCTCTAATGCTACCAGTAACATTTTGTTCCCAATTTTGATGCCAGCTCTGGCTGAAGTCTTGCAAATACTCTCAGATGAATGAGTTAAAGGCAGAAGTGATAGTGATCTCAGTGACAAGAGAGTCTCTCAGGAGAACTCTCAGTGAGAGAGTTCATAATTATGGCATTAGGCATCAGAGTACTGCACCTAGCAGCTATTTGTCTGCTCCAAATGGACACAGTTAATTTGGGGATCAAGAATGTGCATCTGCTTGATTTTGCATTGCACAGAACACATAGCTGAAGTTCAGCAGTCATATGCTGTGCATGCAGGATTGCTTCTTGCCTGTGTGCAACAGGAGGCAGCCGCTGACCTGCTGGCGAGCACCTGCTGCTGGTCCACAGGTGCTCAAGTCCCCTCTGCTATGACAGCCTCCTCTACTCCAGTGTTCCCATCGCCAGCACCTCGCACAGCTTGAGGCACTGCTGAGTCCTGAGGACAAGAAGAGACAAAAGGCTGCAGCTCTGAAAAGATGCAAGGTGAATCCTAGAAGAGACAAAGAGTGACACTGCCCACCTGGGTTTCTTCAGCATAGGAGGGAGAAGTGGACTGAAGGCAACCTTGACTGATGGCAGTTCTTCATCTGCTGCAGCAGGAGTCTTCAGGCAAAGGTGTCTCAACAAGATTAGGCTCAGAATTCACAGCAGCTGAAGAATAAAAGAGCAAATACCTGCAGAGTAAATAGTGAGCTCTGCATTGAACATAAATCTGTGAAAACGTCACCAAACCTTCTCCAAAAGCTGAAAGCTGTTTGTTTGGCTGGGAGAAGTCTGTTATTTACCTTCTTAGGTTGGTAAGTAAAAAACATCAGAGATCTAGAAGGTATGTCAGGCAAGGAATACAGATCTTACAGGGCTGGGAAAACCTGAACCTCACATTCACATAGAAACCTATTTCAGAGGTGTAGGGGGTACACGCTTGTAATCAGAGGGGGAAAAATAAACCTTTCAACTTAGAAAGTGATAGCATCAAGAATTAAGAATATGGTTGCAAGAATTAATATTGGACAATATGTGCTGTGTGAGCACATTACAAAACATGCTCCGAGGCACCGTGGGAGTATAAATGAAAAATGATAATGAATAGGATAGCTGGCAATCTTTCATAGGTGCGTGACAGGAATACCTGCCCTCCAGCAAAGCGATGGTGTTGATAATCCACCAGGAAACCAAGAGCTGCATCAGATTTGTATGCGACGGAAGATACTGCTGCAGCCTACTTGTCTGGAGCATGTGGTTTGTAGGAAGCCAATTGGATCAAGGCAGAGTGCTGCTGCCTGCTGAGACAGCTCTGCAGCATTAGCCTCTGTTCTAGAGGAATGCTGATCTAAGGCAGAGAGAACTCACAGCTGCATGGGCAAAATTGCATTTTGTTGCCTTAGGGCTTGCAGGGCAGGGCCGGGCTGGTCTTGGCATGGAAAAGAGCTCAGGGAAATAGGGAAGAGGACAAAGCTGGGCAAGAGTCTTGCGAATGGCTCAGAAGGTAGAGTCACACTCCTGCTGTCAATAAGTGAGAGGTAGAGCAGGGGCTGCAATGCTTGTTGCAGCAATTATCAGTGCCACTTCAGAGGCTGCAGTGGCTGCCACAAATCTGACTTTGCAAGAAACCTTCTGTTTCAGCTCATTCCCAAAGGCAACCACACAGTGTGTGAACAGCACCAGGGCACCATCACTCTGTGCTGTGCTCCCTGTGTGTCTGAACAGCACCATCACCCTGTGTTGTGCACCCTGCCTAATCCACACCTCCTTCCTTCCTGAGGTTCTCCTCAAGGGCAGACAGCTTGAGACCACAGCAGATCCTCAGGTTACTGATGCCCTCTTCAAGGCAGGCATGGGACTTCTGCTTTGCTTCATGCTGACCTTTAGTTGAGCCAGCATCTCTTCATCCTCCTGAAGGGCACAGCAGAGAGCCTGGTGCAGCAGCACTGCTCCTGCCTGTACACAAGATCACAGCTTACATCCACCCCACATTTTCCCGTGGCTGAAATGGGTGCAGTATTGATGGGAGGTGACAGGATAGCCCTATAAACTGCTGTTTGGGCAGATGTGGTGCCTTGGAAAGGGCTTTGTAACAAGTGAGGACAAAGTTCACTTCCTTCTGGTCCCTCTTCTTCTATCTTCTCTACCAACTCCTCATTCTTCCACTTGGCTCCATCTCTCCTCCTCATCCTTCTACTGTTCCTAATGTCTTTCCTTGCTGCTTTCCTCCCTCCATTGACGGAACAAATCTAAGCATCATATTTAGTTCACTCTTCTTGTTATATGTGCTTCAAAGAAATCCTGGAAAGCCACACTCATCTGGAGATGAAGTGGAGTGAACAATACTGAGAGGAAATGGTATTGTAAATAAGGCCATACGACTATAAGAAAAGGCCAAGGACCAAAAAAATGTGATGGAAAATATACTAGAAATGCTGAACCACACACCTCTATGTCCTGTTTGTAGTATGTTCTATAAAAATCCACAAACTTGAGTCAAAGTCAATAGGACATATCATATTATAGAATCCCTCCTGCCTTACTTCTCTGATCAGCTGCTTCTCTGCTTCAACATCTAACTGGGAGGAGGGAGCTCGCTTCCCTTCCAAGTGAGCAGCCTTGGCAGGTGGAAGCCCTGCAAAGCAAAGCAGCAATAAAAATCATGCAGTTATTGGGTGGGATTGTCTGTGGAGTACCTGGAAACGGAACAAAGAAGCTGGCTGCCAGCAAAGAATATCGCCATCCACGTGCTCCTTTGCACTGCACTCATGTGCCAGCATCTGTGCTGCTAAAATGCCCACTGGCCTCCAGCTCCAGAGGAGTGGGGAGAGGAATCAGCACTGAGCACAGCAGGTGCTTCAGGTATATGAAAGCAAATATAAGTCTGATCTCTGTCAGAGTAAAAGGAGATCTGTTTCCCAGGCTATGTTAACAGATTTGGAAGATAAAATACACTGGGAAGGAGATTAAAAAGTGCAGGGAAATTCCTCCTGTCTTCCCAGCAGTTTTTGAAAGACGGCAGAAAGGGGAAAAGAGAAAAATCCTTCAGCCTCTCATAACAGTTGACCTTCGTCACAGCTCTCAAGAGATGATCAGGTCCCTAAAGATTGCTCTTACTGATTTGCTCCCAGGTATTCCTACTGCACAGCACAGTGGGCCTGCTGAGGGTGAATCATTGATGAGAGGACAGAGCATTCTGTAAGGAATGCTGTTAGCAAGGCAAAGACTCTTCCTGTAGTGCCAAAAGTTCAAAGTTCAGGATAACAGGAGCTGAATGCTAATTAAAAAAAAAAAAAAAAGTATAATTGTATTTAATTGTATTTAATTTTACATTGTTATTTCTCCACCATCTTTGCTCTGCCAGTTGAAATCCCTTTTCTGTTGACCAAATTCTACCCAGACTGACCAATAAGAATCAAGGATTTGAATCCTATCAGCATTTTCTAACAAAATTAGTCATTATTGAAAACTAGAGAAAATATTAGAGAATTGAGATGTTCTTTACTGCTGGAATAAGGTCATTTTGGCAACAGTAAAGGAAGAGCACATTACCAGAATGGACACCTCTTCCTGCAATGGGTGAGGTGAGATCTGGTGAGTATTTTACTTGCGAAACCACTTTTTTTGGTCAAAGATAAAGCAGTTCTAAGGTCACTGAGGTTTTCCTATCTGACAAGTTATTCACATTCATTTGTTCAGCTAGAATGGCCTTCAGCTTCTTAATCTTCTCCTGATATCCCTCAGCGGAGCATCCTTAGGGTCCTCCCTGATACAGGACTTGTTGATGTTTTTCACTCGATTTGCATAGCGCACAGTACTGAGACACTGAGCTTCATCATAGCTGTTGTCAGCTGAGATAAGCATGCTACCATCAGGGCCTTGGTATCCCCTCCCAGGAAGCCTGGCAGCAGCCTGGTCAGCTTTGAGTCACAGTAGGGGATGTGTTTGCACCTGCCATCAACGAGGACTGAGAGCAGAGAGGGAAAGGTTGATTTTGGTGGCCTCTTTGCTCTGCTCTCCTGTAGTTCCACTTTCTGTCTCCTGCTTCCCGCCAGGTCCACTATATTAACTTTTGCTGCCCTAAGATGGTCCTGCCCTCTCTCATCTGCAAGAAAATCATTCCAAGTTAGGCGCTTCTCAGGAAGCAGCATCTCAATGGTCAGGAACCAGAACAGGTACTTAACGCAGAAACACCAAGGTTGGAAAAGACCTACAAGATCATCCAGTCCAACCATCCACCCATCACCCATCACTAAACCATGTCCTCAACACAACATCCAAACGTTCCTTGAACTGATGTGATGCCACAAGTCTCCTGTTAGTAAGGCAGACACTTCAGGAACCCTTCAATTTCACCAGCTCCTTACCATACTCAACTTCATACCAATCTTTCATCAAATCACAGCATACTGTCCACAGCACTCAGATTTCTGTGCCCCAATCGTTCCTCATGATTGCATCTCAAGTTCAAGGGAATTGCTTCTTCAGCGCTCCGAGCTCCGATTTCCACCAGAGAACATCACAGTTTGAACCAAGTCTGCTCTCTTCCAGGCAGACTTCTACAAAACCTCACCTTGAATTCAGTCAGGAGTTGAACTTTATGGATGTGGATGTGGAGGATACCTAAACATGAACAATTAATAATCTGACACACGGGGGAAAGTTAGAAGTTTATAATGAGAAATAAAGGCATGAGAAATAAAGAAAACCTACTGCACTTACAGTTACAGCAGTGGGTCATTAACTGCAGAACTTAACCATTTGCAGCAGAGCACTGTTTCACACCACACTCTCTGACATGTCTGGACATGGAAGAATTGGGAAAAAACAAAAACAAAAAAAACAGAGCTTAAACAGAGCACCCTCTCACCATCCTTTCTGATTGCTGGAGTAAGCAGACTGTCACAAAACATAGGTTTTCTAACTCTTTCCTTCCCTGTCCCAGCTTATGTAGACAATGAAGAAGTTGGTTTGGTTGCTGTTGGTGTCCTTTTACCCAAGGAGGCTATTTGCTTCCATTGCAGAGCTTTGTGGCTTGGTTTCCATCTTGTAATAAGGTTCCCAGACTCTCACTAAAATGCCTGCAGGCACTGCCTGTCTCATCCCCACGCAGCCCATCAGCTGCTCCTGGTGGCAGAAGCCCGATCTAAAACGTCTTTCTGCTGAGCAAATCAATCCCAAAAACATAAAGGGATAAAATAGCTGCTACTCTAAACACCCTAAACATCAGATGGTAACTTGTGTGTTTTGCACATCTGCAGTCAGAGCCCTGTGCTCACCATCATCCTGTTTCTGAACTTTTACTTGGAAATAAAGCTCACGTAGTTGTGAGGAGCTTCTTAATATTAATATTAAGCACCTGCAAATTATAACATCCTACACATGCAACTAGAAAATAAGTTGCAACTTATCCATACACCTCTTTGAGAAACCTAAAGATGACAACATAAATACCTATTCATTTAAGAGCCCTGCACCCAACACAAAACAGAAGTGTAAACACTTCATTTTCCTTTTTAGGCTGGGGTTTGACATAACTACATAATGCAGGGATTAGCATCCACCAGCTGTGCTAATTGAGACATTCTATAAATCCAACACGCACCACTTTGAGCAGATGAAAATGAGATACTCTCATTAACATCTGGAACTACAATTTAGAAAGACATTATGCAACTTTCCTGATGGCTGAAACACCTGAGGAGAACACAACCAAGCTGTTCAGGGCCCCAGTTGGGGTCAAGGATGAGACAGAATACAGGAGATTAATTTCTTTCTTAATCCCTGAGAAAACCTTCCAAGGTCCTTGTCCAGATGCAGTAGGCAGCTTTATCAGCTAAAGAAATGCCAGCTGAAATGAGATACTTGGGAAAGGAAAATTAGTCACTAAAACATTATTAAGGGACCCTTTTATTCCATCTTTAAACCCAGATTAGTAGTTTGCTTAAAAGACATGCCTTATAATTAAGCTAAATGAAGGAATCCCTGGGTGAATTGTAAGAGAGGTCAGACAAGGGAGAGAAGGATACAAGTTTCTCAAGGCTTTGCAATGTCTGAGCTCCAAGGCAGTGTATGGGCTGTGAGTTCTAGCAGCCTTTGCTAAAAATAAAGGCTTTAGAAGATAAAAGAAGGAGAACAAAATATGTTTCAGATTGAGTGCAAGACATTTCAGCCTCAAGGGGAACTGAGGAGTAAAGATTTTGAATATTCAGCCATCTCATCTACAAAGCATCCCAGTGTCAGGGCACCATTTCTATGCTGATTCCTATGGACCAAAGTCATGTAGGCTCCAACTTCTGCTGGGGGCTGAATGGTTGGATTCCACCGATCCTGTGGATGCAGCACATCCAGCTCCTACCTATGGTGCAGATTTCCACACAGATGGTAAAGATGGAGCTGGAAGAGTCCTTGTTCATCACAGTGTTCCTCCAGTCGCCTCCACAATCTGCTCACACTGCACCACACCATGCAAAGGGTGCAGGGAAAGCCCCTCCACGCACAGCCCCTTCTCCAGATGCTCCTTCAGCTGCAAGCAGAGACAGCACAACTCAGGTCAGAACGGGGAGCAAGGCTGCAGAAGGGTGTGCAGAAGGCTTCCACCAGCTTTCAGACCACACAAAAAGAGGGAACCACCTTTACAGCCAAAAAGAGCGAAGGTTATGAATTTGCTGATGGATTCAGCCATCTCCCAGGACACAAGCAACCCAGCTTCTCTGCACCAAGCTGCCTTCCACCTCCCCTATTATTAAGCAGCATATTTTAAGAAGAACTGAAATGTTTTTCACCTATTATGGCAAAGTCTCTAATATATATCATCAGTCATAGGGAGCTTTTTAAAACCAAAGCACTGATTCAATAATCAGATATTGTTACTGGTGCTGTACTGAACCCCTCCGCTCTGAGAGGGCGTCTTATTCACACTGACGCAGTTCCCCAGATCACACCCATCACACACAGGCACACTATATATTTTTTTCCTCCAGATGAGTTCATTTATCTGATGCTCTAAAATCACGTCCAGGCACCTGGGCAGTGTTAAACGACTAATGGCATCTTTTCAAAACCATCAAAGGAATCACTAAATCATGCAGAAGAAAACATGCAGCACATTGAGAAATGATTGAGGGGTTCAAAGTATTGAACAGTCCATCAAACCTACATTTAAAAAAAAAACACAAAACAACTGAGAGCACTCCCACATGAGCCCCTTCTGAAGTTCCATCCACGCTGGGAATTTTAAATGAGAGGAATTCATTTGCACCAGCTGTGTTATACCCCACATTCGCTGAGCTCATAACCAGAACTCGGTCATGTCAGCAGGGATATCAATCAGAGATGCAATAGATCATAGAATGGTTTGAGTTAGAAGGGACCTGTAAATGCCATCTGGTCCAACTCCCCTGCAGCAACCAGGAACACCCACAGCTTCTTTGGGTGCTCAGAGCACAGATACTGCCTTTGGTGGTGTGACCTCCAAACACTTCCAGATGTTTCAGTGATGCTACAGGAAGGGATGTAAAAAAAATCTGGGCATATGGAGCAAATATGTCTGAAAACTGAACTCAGCAGGATGTTAGCCTTGTTCTATGTCACTGTAAAGCCGTGCCTGCCCAGAATTAACCCAGTTCCAGAACCACAGCCAGGCTGGTTGTACACCATCACTTTTGACTGTGCTACAGGAGAACTGGCACAGCTGCATTTAAGGGTGCCACAAAGCCCTTCCCAGGGCTGTCTAACAGCCTGGCCGTGCCATGCTCCTACCAGAGCTCCTACCCCCTGCTTTTCTGTCACAGGACTTCATTCCACAGCTGGCAGCTGAGCCTTGGGGCTTCAGAATGTACAAAATCACTGATGTTAAAAGGCAAAGGAACAAAGACACGGGATTTCGGAGGAGAATAACAGGCTCTGGGACTCAGAAGAAAGCCGTGGGCCAGCCCAGGCCTTTTGCCTCCACAGGACACGGCTGGACTCCTTGCTCAGAGGAGCCAGTGAGGGCTGGCGGCTGTCCCCACAGTGCTGGTGTTTCCTTGGAAACTGCTGTGCCCGAGTCCTGCCCTCCTGGTGCCAACTGCAGTCGTCATGGAAACCTGTGTCACTGCTGATGGGAAACAAAGGATGGGGATCTGCAGCAAGCGTGGTCTAAATCAGCATCAAGCCCCTTTTCTTCCTTCTCTCTCCCAGTGCAAGCACGCTCAGAAAGCAAAGCAGAGCGCTGTCTGCAAGAGGATTTGGCTCCATGAAGGCAGGAGCCCATGCAGCACTGCCTGCCAGGCCGCAAGCACTGCAGGTCCCTTCCTGTGCAGTGCTTCCATGCGGCACACGGCGCTGCTGATGCGGCCTTCCCCTCGCAGGTGGGCCTGCAGGGGAGCAAACTGGGGCAGAAGATTTGCAGGTGCCCCCAGGAATACGTGCAGAAAGATCCGAGAAGACTCCAAGAGGTATGTTTTGTAGAAGTCTGTCCCTTGGTTGGGATTTCAGTGCATTTTTTCCTCCGGCCTTCCTGGCCTCAGCTCCAACATGTGCTTGGTATCGGCCCCTAGAAGGTCTCGTATGTCCCTCACTGTTAATCTCCAGGCAGGAAGTTCTCACCAAGTGTCACCTGACACTTTCAGCACACCATACAAAACAGGAATGAAGTCAGGAGGAGGTTCACAGCATGAAGGCAAACAGGCAGAGTGCCAGCTGGGCACCCACCTCCCTGCTGCTCCTCCTCACACCTCCCATAGCATTTCATGCTCGGGTATGACTACTGAACACATTTGCTTCCAGGCCTCAGATATCTCAGGCATGCAGGACTGTATTTCTGTAGGGTTCTATGACAGAGCCAGTACTGAGGAGACTGAAATGCTGCACTCAGAGTTAAACCAGCACCCTGCTCCAAGTACGGATATCACAGTCCTTTGCAACACCTGACACTGCAGCTCTGCTGGCACCAAATCTGTTTTACCAGCAGTGCAGTTGAGATGGGAGGAAATGTTACTTCCAGAAGTGAGAAACAGACAAATGACAGCAATTCACTGAGAATCCAAAGTCAGTCCACATCCTCCCTCCTAAGTGCACTCCTTCCTTGGGGTGCTCCCCTCTGCTTGCTGCTCCCCTGATGCTTTTCAGGTTAAAAACAGTGCTTTGGTTAAAGCACTTAACTGGGATGAGAATACCATCACAGCTCAGTGACAACTGCAATTTCAGGAGAAAAGAAGAGCAGAACAGTGTGGATATTACTCCTCCACTTCCCAGAAGGGCTGCCAGCATAAATGTTTCAATTCCCGCAGATCAGGGAGCATTATGCTGTAGAAGGTGCAGAAATTATCTTTGTAGCTACCACACAACGTTACAACAGGATCTCTTCCATATCATCACACACCCACCTGTGCGCTCTCAAAAATGTGTTCCAGTGAGAAAAATAAAATAAAACCAACCACAGAACGGCCCGCAGGTGGGTGGTAAAAATTGGAGGGGCAGCTGACAATGCTGAAGGCCGGGATGGTTTTGCCATAGGGCAGGAAATCTTCAGGAATATGGATTCAAGCAGGATGCCAGCTGACTGCAGGGCCGGCAGCAAGCAGGCATCACTGCTGTTTATTCCTGTTTTGGAGAGCCACGATGAGAAGAGAAGGCATTTGGGACTTCCATCTTAAAACTTAAAAACTATCACTGGTCATTCCATCTTTGTAGCTTCTGCTGACAGCATTAGTTGGTGCTCCCAACCGCCGGTTGGTTTTTGGTGGCTATGTTTGTTTGGGGTTTTCTGGGCTGCTTTTCCCCTCCCAGCCGCTCACCGTGCGGACACACCAGCAGGCACCGCGCGTCCCCTCGCAGCTTTTGCTTCGCTTTCTCCAGCAGGCAGAGATTTCCCACCTCCTCCAAGGCGTCCTGCTGGGCCGTACGAACAGCCCGACGCCCGTCAGCAGCACTGCGGGTCACCCTTCTGCTCAACCCCGATCCCGAGCCGGAAAAGCAGAGCCCCGCCGGCCCCATCTCTCAGCTCTCCGCCCCGGCTCAGCCCTTTCCGGACGGATCTCCCGCACCGCTACAGCCCACCCCCCTCTCTGATTAAACCCCCGTGGTTTCGGTAGGCGGTATCCACGTCCAACCGAGGCCGAGGCACGGCCAACAGGGCGGCACCCAGCAGCACCCACGCGGACGAAGGCGGCGAGGGAACCGGCGGCGGGAGCACGCTCGGGCCGCGGGGAGAGTGCGCATGCGCGCGGTCACTTCGCGCCGTTGTCGTAGCGACGGGACGCCGCCGCTCGAGGCCCCGCCCCGCGGATCACGTGCCGCAGAGGGCGCTCGCGCGGATAGACGGGCGAGCGCGCGGCGTGGGGTGCGCGTGCGTGGAGCCGCGCGGCGGAGCGGGACATTGGGCAGCGAGTGTCAGTGCTGAGATTGCGCGAGCGCGTGGCTGTGCACGGGACTGCAACCGGACAGATGCGAGAAAGAGTCCGGAGCAGCGCAGTTGCGCAGAGCAGTTTATTCCCGAGGTGGCCGTGGGGCTCCGTGCGGTTGGAGCAGCGGTCGGGTCTAACCCCGCTCGTGCTGCACCAGGGCCGGGCTGTCCTCGTCCCGCTGCTCGTAGCCGGGGTTGCGGTGCCCCACGCTCAGGCGGCAGAAGCAGCCCCCAGGTACTGCCGAGTAGTGCGCGAGCAGCGCCGGCATGGAGCGGAATTCGGCGTGGGAGTGCTGCAGGAGAGAGGCACCGGTGCGCTGATGCACCAACACGTGTGTGCACTGTGCAGTCAGGAAGAGAACTCACCAGTGCTCCATGCACTCATGCTCTAAAGAAACGCACTTAAGCACAGCGTGCCTCTGTGCTCATGCACCCCCATATACTGAAGGACCAATGAACCACACACCCAGCCATCTGTGCACCAGTCCAGCTCGGAAACGAAAGCACTCGTGCACCTGTATCTCAGTTCCTCATGCATGTGCACCCTCATGCACCCATACACTGGTGTGACACAGCACACTGCATTGGTGCATCCATGTATTGGTGCACGGGTGGACGCGTGTGCACAACAATGCGTTCACACTGGTGCGCGGGTGCACATGGCTGCAGTAGCACACAGATGCACCCATCCTTTTGCACAGACACACCGGCCCTATGCACGAACGCAGCTGTGCATGCAAACCCCTGATCCACACACCAGCGCTGCACGCAGCCTCCCGCTCACCTCCACGCAGAACCGGCCCTGCTGTGTCCGCAGCACGCTGTACGGCACGACCCCGCAGGGCGCACGCACCCACAGGCACCAGCGCGGGGTGCCGCCGGCTTCGGGGCGCAGCAGGAAGGCTCCTGGCACATCTCCGTGCAGCAGCGCCACGCCGCCGGCCCTGCAGGGACGCACAGGTGGGTTTGGGGCTGGCTGGGGGCTGTGGGCCCGGGGGTGCTGGGCACTCACCTGGCGATGCCGGCGAAGGCCCACACACTCTCGGCGAGGGCGGCCTCGGTGTCGGGGAGCAGCGCCAGGCCCCGCGCGCTCCTGCTCTCCCATCCCGATGGGGCTGGGGGAGGTGGGTGGGTGCCCGGCCCCAGATCCCCTCCTTGCCACCCAGGATCTTCTTTTTGAGATCCAAATCCTATCCCTGACCTCTCACCAACACCAAATGTGACCCCAAATCCTATCCTCCCCACCAATGCCTCTCCTCGATCCCAAATCTCCTCCTTGACCTCAAAACCTTCCTTTGACACCCAAATCCTCTCCTCAATCTCAAATCCCCTCCTTGACCCCAAATTCCCCTTGATGACCTCATATCCCTTCACCGATCCCCAAATCCTCTCTTTACTCCAAAATCCTAACCCCAAATCCCCTTACCAGCCCCAAATCCCCTCCTTGGCCCCCAAATCCTATTCCTAACCCCAAATCCCCTCATCCCCCCAGGTTTTTCTCTTTGGGCCTAAATCCTCTCCCTCACCCCCAGAATACTCTCTTTGACCCCCAAATCATATCCTTTACAACAAATTCCCTCCTTGATCCCAGATCTCCTATTTGACATCAAAACCTTTCTCTGACCCCAAAATCATTTCCTCTTTGAACCCCAAATCCCCTCCTTGATACCCAGATCCTCACAGTGATCCCTATTTCCTATCATTCACACCAAATCCCTTCCTTGTCTCCCTCTTTTTGACCTTAAATCCCCTGCTTGATTGCCAAATCCTCTCATTAAACCCCAAATCCTATTCTTCACGCCAAATCCTCACATTGGCTCCAAAATCCTCTCTTTGACCCCAAATCCTCTCTGACCCCAAAATCCTATCCTTATCCCAAATCGCCTCTCCTTGATCCCAAATCTCCTCTTTGACCCTGAATTCCCTGAACAACCCCAGATCGCCTCATTGATGCCCAAATCCTTTCTTTGATCCCCAAAATCCTCTCAACCCCAAATCCACTCCTTGACACCCAAATCCTCTCAATGACCCCAAATCCCCTTGTTGGCCTCCAAATCCTCTATTTGATCCCCATAATCCTCAACCTCTAACCCCTTCTGACCCCAGAATCCCCTCCAATGACTCCAAATCCTCTCCTCAGCCCCAAATCCCTTCTCTGACCTGAAAATCCCCTCCTTGACTCCAAATCTTCTCCTGAACCCCCAAATCCCCTTCCTGCTCCGCCAAAATCCCACCTTGACCCCAAGCCCCCTCAGTGGCCCCACAATCCCCTCCCTGACTCCCAAATCCCCTCTCTGACCCCCAAATCCCCATCTTGACCCCAAATCACCTCAATGGCCCCACAATCCCTTCCTTGATCCCCCAAATCCTCTCCTCAATCCCAAGTCCACTCTCTCACCCCAAAATCCCCACCTTGACCCCAAATTCCCTTAATGGCCCCACAGTCTTCTCTCTGACCCCCAAGTCCCCAAGTACAAAGGAACCTAAATCCCCTCATTGGCTCCCAAATCCTCCTTTGATCCCCCAAATCCTCAACCTCTAACCCCTCTCTGATGCTAGAATCCCCTCACACATCTTCAAATCCTCTTCTCAAGCCCAAATCGTCTCTCTGACCCCAAAATCCCTTCACTAATCTCAGGATCCCCTCTCCTTGACCTCCAAATCATCTCTTTGACTCCCAAAGTCCTCTCCTCCACCCAAATCCCTCCTGTGACCCTAAATCCCCTCAATGGCCTCACAATACCCTCTTTGACCCCCCAAAGTCCTTTCCTCCACCCAAATCCCCTCTCTGACCCCCAAACTGTTCTTTGACCCCATGCCCTTCCCCTTCCCTCCCCCCCACTCACCACTCTCTCTCTGCTGCAGTTGGCTCTCAGCCCCGCAGTCTCGGTAGGCACCCGAGCGCAGCACTTTGCTGCGGATTGCCTTTTTGCGCACCAGCACTGGGGAGCAATAGGGGTTCCCTGGGTGCCAACCCACAGCGCGGCCCTCAGCCTCCATCCGTCTCTCTTGGAGCAAATGCTGTGCAAAAACGTGCTGTGGAAATAGGCTGGGAGTTAAACACGGTGTGAGGAAAGGCCGTGCAAGGAAGGTCTGTGGAATATGCTGTGCAAAAAGTGCTGTGCAAAATGCCATGTGCAAACGTGGGGTGGGCTGTGCAAAATGCTTTGTGCAAAGATGTGCTGTGTGCAACTGCATGCTGGAAAAGGCCATGCAAAGAAGGGCTGTGCAAAATGCAGCACTGAAAGCAGTAGGGGAAGTGCTGTGAAAGCAGCATGCAATAAGAGGCTTTGGTGATGTGCTGTGCAAGGTATGCGAAGCACCATGGAAAGGAAGTTCACCTGGTGCAAAATCTGTGCAAGGAAAGGCTGTGCAAGACATGATGGAAAAATGTGCTGTGCAAAGATGCACCGTGCAAGAATGCGCCGTGCAAATGGACTGTGCAAAGAACATGCTGTGCAAAAAATGCAGCATGCAAAAAAATGAGTCATGCAAAAATACATTGTGCAAAAATGCATTGTGCAAAAGATCCGCCATAGAAAGGTGCATCGTGGGGGAAAAAAAATGCACAATGAAAAAAATGCTCCACACAAAGGTGCATCATGCAAAGATGGACTGTGCAAAGATGCACCATCCAAGCATTTCCTGTGCAATGTGCTGAGCAATGATGCTGTGCAATGCTGCACTGCAAAGACCTGCACCCACCCCTGCACCCAGAGGTCCGACGGCAGGCAGGCGCCTCAGGGACAGCAGTGCGTTGACATTGCGTGACACCTCCTCGGGATTGAGGGGCTCCCGCAGCAGCGGGAGGGGGTCGGGCTCAGCCTCCTGCAGCTCAGGGTGTGCCTGGAGGTAACAGAGCTGGAAGGAGCGGCACAGCAGCAGGTGCAGTACATGCACCTGCAGGGGGAGAGGGGATGAGAGTCAGAACGATAACGCAAAAATAATTGAAGTGTTAAGGGGGGTGGGAGGGTGGAAGCATGCAGGCACGCACCTCAGCTGGGGGCCCCACAAAGAGGTGGCAGAACAGTGAGCTGGGGGGACTGCAGGGATTGCGGGCCACGAAGGCGAACTGGTGCTCGGTGTGCAGGCAGGTGCTGTACAGGATGCGGCGCAGCGCATGCGCCATCAACAGCGTCTGCAGCAACAGCAGGGCCTGGCTGGGACCATGGTGTGAGCAGAGCCCAGTCCAAGCCTGGCTGCAAATGCTCATCTGCAAAGCAGGCAGCTGTGCTCCGAGTGCTGCAGAACCCCCAGAGCACCTCTTCAGAGTGGCACCCGGCACCCTGCGCGTTGCACCCTGCACATCACATCACACCGTGCTCCCAGCACCCACCTCCCCATCGGAGCCGTAGACCTTCAGTCCCTGCAGGCTGAACCTGAGCACCACTGACTTCCTCCTGGGGCAATCCTTGTGGGGACATAGGGGGTGGTGGTGGGGTCCCCCCACTGCCATTTGGCATCCCCCCACCAGCCGTGGGGATTTGAGGGCAATGGGGACAGCCTACCTTCAGCGCCCGCAGCTGCTCTTCCAGCTGCCCTGCATGCTGCTGCAGCTCCAGCTCCTCCAGCATGAAGGAACCCACGTACTGGGGGGGCAACAATCCCATCCTGCTCCAGCAGCCCCCCATGGGATTCCCCGACAACAAGGGGATGCAGCACTGTGGGTCACACCTGCACCCCAATGGCCTCACCTCTGCTGGCCTGGTGATACCCCGGGTGCGAAGGGGTGGTGGTGCCGGATCCGGCCCCCTCCCATTGGCTGTCATCTTCTTCTTCATGGCAGCAGCTTCCTAAATCCTTACCCCAGTGCAGAGGTCCCCAAATCCTCACCCCGATGCAGAGGTTCCCAAATCCTGACCCCATCACAGAGGTTCCCAGATCTTTACCCCCATACAAGGCTCCTGGATCCCAACCCCAACCTCACCCCAAGCACCGTGCAAGGGTTCCCATGGCCCAGCCCCAGTTGGGATCCAGGAACGTTTTGCAAGTGTCCCCAAATCCAGACCCTGCCCCCAGAGCAAAGTCCCCATGTCCCCAAACTCATCACCACATCACCATAACAGGTGATCCTCTCTGCCCCTAAGCTCCGTGCAGGGGTCCTATGTCCCAAGCAAGCACCCACATCCTGACCCCAACTGTGATGTGAGGGGTCCCTGCACCCTGACCCCAAATAAGATGCATGCGGCCCAAATGAAACCCAAGTAAGATCCACAGGTACCCAAATCCTGACCCTAAGCTGGGGTCCCTGCACCTTGGAGATGGCAGCATCTCATGGGGGGGGGGGGGGGGGGGGGGGGGGGGGGAAGGAGGTAAGCCATAAGGATGTGCCTCAAAGGGGTTTTGGGGCTGAGACCCGTGTATCTCGTGACACCGCTGGCTGCAAAAAACACGGGTTGGGGGATCCAGGCGCATCCCATGCGGGTGCGGGCTCAGGGCTGCCCCATCCATTCCGGCACCGTTCGGGGGTCTCCCCCCACCCCCAGCCAATCCGCAGGCAGGCAGCCCCCAGGCCCCGCCCCCTTTTTCCCACGCTCCATTTCTCAATGGGGCCCCCAGCCCACCACCACCACCACCACCACCGCCACCACCCTGCAGCTCCCCCAGGGATGGCTGCTCATCCCGAGATAAGCTCGCCCACCGCAGCGGGCCCCGTTCCCCCGCTCACGGGCAGCTCCAGAGAAACACAGGCGAAATCCTCCGGTTCTCGGCCTTAGCCGAGCGCTTTCCTTCCTTGGGGGCTCCGCCGGGCGCGACGCAGGGATGCTCCGTAGGGATGCTCTGCCCAGCGCTGTCAGGCCCCCGCTGCACGCCAGGCCCCGCCAAGCCCGAGCCCACGGCGGGCACGGGGCAGGCAGCGAACTCCCATTTCCTGCCTCCGATCTGCCCGCGATGAATCACTGCAATTTACCTCCCCGTTTTCTCCGTCTCTTGGAAGCGACGGCGAGCAGAAAGGCTCGGGCTTTTTGGAAAACGCAGCTGCAACCCGTTGCTTTTTTTTTTTTTCTTTGAGAAGCGATGCTGAGCCCTCTCCCCACTGCGCACACGTGGCTGCACGCTCACCACCCGTGCCTGCCTCACCCCAATTCCCACTTTGCCCACTCCATCCACTCTGCTTTTGGTCACAGTCGTATAGAAATAATGGGGATGGCTCCTGCAAAGAAAGGGATGCAGGCATATGTAAAGCCAATGTCACATCCCAAAAACTCCAAGTTGTGCCCCAAAACCTCAGTGTTGTGCCCCCACATCGCAATATTACATCCACCAAACCCAAAGATACTTGCTCAAATCCCAACATTGCATCAGGAAAACCCAAAAACACTCCGACTGGGAGCAGACAACAGCTGCCCACAGCCAGAGCCACTTGTTAATGGAAAGCAATGCTTTGGAGAGAAGGTGCAGCCCCAGCCTTTAAAGGTGCCTCTAAAAACCCCAGCGCTAGCCTCAGTGCACCTAAGGGTGTAAGAAAAAGGGCTCCCATGGCACCATGCAAACCTTGGGCTGCCACCAATGCTGACTGCTTCGAGACACCATGGAGTGCCCTGGTGGAGCCAACAGCATTGAAACAGCTGAAAGAAAGGAAAAAAAAAAATGGACAGATGGGACTGAGGGAATAACACAACAGAGCCAATCTGGCCAGGAAGCAGGCCGAGGACACGCAGCAGAACTGGCACAAAGCTTCCCAAAGAGAGCTGCTGCTTTCTCTTGGTGCCCCACTATGCTGTGCTACAGGCTGAGGTTCCCCATCCAACCCCCAGTAGAAGGTGTGTGCTGCTCCAAGCTGCCCTGGGGAGGCAGGTAGCTCAACCAGCAACAAAAGCCACAACTAAAAGAGTTTGGAGGTGACCAAGAGAACCAATGGCAGCTTTTAGCACAAGCCTTGCAGAAAAATTAAATTGTGCTTGGATGCAAAGGATCAAAGCTATGCAGGTGGTTTAGGAAGTATTTTTTGGGTTGCTGGGGTGGAAACATTACCGCAAAGAGGAAGTAGAGAGGTGCTGCAGAACAGCAGCTAGGAAGAGGACTCCATACGCCCACAAGCATCCTAGAGAGAAGGATGTTATTCAGATCTGGCTTGGAAGAAAACATCACCAAAATCCACTGTTTCAGTACACGCAGCAGCAGGAGAGTCATTACCAAAGTTTCTAAGTGCTTTACAGCCCCGTAGGTTACTTGAGTGCCTTCACTCTGTTTCATGTTAGCCACAGCTTTCATGAACCTGCTCTTTGCATCCTTGCTCCAGGGTTGTGCGCAATGGAAGGCATTTCTGTAAGAGCTTTTTAAACTTCCAGTTATTGGAGGGAGCACACTGAGGCCGCACCTGAAAAGGGTGAATAGAGTAAGGATGCTTTTCCATTTTGCACTCGATTTCTGGAGGCACTTCCACTGCTCCCAGTGTGGTGGATGCAAAGCTCTTCCCAAAAGCACGTTAAACAAAGAGATCGCGTTTGAATCATTCACATTGCCCCATTCAAGGGAGAGTCCAGGAGGCTCTGATGCCAGCAGTGTACTTCTAACAAAGGCTTGCCTCCGCAAAGCACGCTCATTGTAACCCTCTCCTCTCTGGGCTTCCAGGAGGAGAAAGCTGTGGCGAGGAAGGTAAAGGACACACAGAGCAGGCCCGGAATCTAGTTTCATTTTATTTTAGCAAACTGCATGTTCTTCACTTATCAACATCTCTACATTAGCAACTGTATAGCTTTCCAACTTTTCTTTTAAAAAAAGGGTAAACAAGAAATGACAAAACTTAGGCTCTTCATCTCTTAAAAACATTTGAAAGTTGGATTCAAGAAGACTTTTATATATTTTGGTTTAAGGTAACAGAAGTAGCATGGAAACACTAATTCAAATCACCCGCCCGAGAACTACCCCTTTTAGAGCCCCTCTGGTGTCAGATGCTCGGTACAAGCGGCAGCCTCCATTGACTGAAGACCTGACCCACTCTCACACACACTGTGCCAGTCTGAAAAAGCCACACACACCTCCTTGACCTGCCAGCACCACAGCTGAGCATAAAGGAGCACCTCCAGGACTCAGTGCAAGTGCTGTATACATACGCTGCTCCTTCACAGAAGCAGGAATGACCTCCTCATGCAGAGGATTTACGGAGGACTCTAGTGCCATCGTACCTTCTCAATTAAGAATCATACTTCCCCCAATCATCACGTTCCTGCTGCCTGAAAATACAAATAACTTCTTTGAAGAATTTTTAAATGCTGCCCTCCCCTCAAACCCAAGAAAAACACCATAAAATGTACAGATTACAGGTCCTAGAAAAGTCTTAAGATTATTGTAGAAACTAAAGATGACTTGTTCCAAGGGAGGGGTAGGCACAAGGCACAGCACTGAGATCTAACAAATGCTTAGGTTGTTTGATTTAGTTTTCAGCTTTTTCCCCCATCATTCAAGAAGAAAAAAAAAAAAGTGTTTAAGCATCAGAACTAAAATACAAATGCACGTTGACTTTATAAAACAAGATTGTGGATTTGATCATGGGATCCCCTGACAGTGGAAATATTTACTTTTTTGCCCGGAGAGATTTCCTCATGGCAGATTTGCCCTTGGTAGAAGGTTTCACCTCCTTCCTCCCACTAGCTGCTGGTTTCCTGGAAGAGCTGCCACCAGAGGGTTTCTTGATGACTGGGGTTGCTGGTTTGGCTTTCTTTGTAGGGGTTTTCACCTTGGGTGGGGGCTTAGCTTTCCCCCGGCGGGCTGCAGGGGTCTTCCTGGGCTTGGGTTTGGATTCTCTTCGCTTCATTGGAGGGGCCCTGCTCCGTGATTTTGGAGGAGGCCTCTTCTGCATCCTGTCAGAAAGGCAGCACAAGATCTCAGTGGAGGCACAAACTACTCAGAGCAGAGCTGCTGTCATCAATTTACATAAATGAAACAGATCTCAGCATCTTTGTTCTTTACCACAGATGTTTGTTCCTTCATGCAGCAGTACATTTCATTTGCCAAATCCCACAGAGCAAGAAGCCCTGTGGTGGATCTTGTCACGCTATGCGCTTCTCAATCCCCAAAGATATCTCACTGGCAGAGCACTGGCTCCTTTGTTAGATTAATTGTCATTATTTGTATGTTTATATGCCTAAGTCAATTGCCAGAACAACCCAGAGAGTTAAGCATTCTCTCTACCCCTCTGACAGTGATTTTATTATTTAATGAACACCACTTATCTTAAACCCACATTCTGAATGAGACAGGTTTCCTGTCTGGCTACAGAATTGCAGACGATACCGTAAGAAAAAGTTTCTCCTCAGGAAACAACAAATCCAAGCAGTGCCACATGAAGCGTCACTCTTTTGTAGAGCACAAAAGGCACTGAGGAGATTAAAAGCACCACAGAGAATAAATATTTCTCTAATCTAGAGGAATTCCAGCTATGGAGTAACAGATTAGCATCTCTGGAACAGAGCATTGCTTCTGCAGATACATCCTAGAGAAGTCCTGATCCTAACAGCTCTCCCAGGAGTTCAAAACACTGCTGTAAAATAAAGTTCCTAACACCTCTTAAGTGGCAGCCTTACAGATCAGCAGCCACAGCCAAACACTCTACAGCCCCGACTGTCACTTCTAATTCATCCAAAGGAGCCCATTTCTCTCTTATGCTACCATACCTCTTCTTTGGTGGTGGCTCTTCCTCCTCAGACTCTTCATCTTCAGATTCTTCTTCCTCCTCAGATTCCTCCTCTTCCTCCTCATCAGATTCTTCGGAGTCCTCATCCTGCTGCTTCTCCGGGTAGAGCACATCTGGGCTACAAGAGAATTCTTATCAGAGCTTACTTCTAAGGCCTTGGCTAACCTTAATTGCTCCTTCTGTGCAAACAATGGAAGAACAAGATCAGACCCCAGTAACTCTGAATGCAGGCCAGAGCTACTGAGGACTTTACACACACATGACAAAAGAAGGTGGGAGGCAGAAACATTACTGTGTTGCCATGTGGCTATTCATGGGACACTAAGTCACCATCCGAGGGCTCCCTGTGGCCCAGCACAATGTACACTCGCAGAAGCAGAGAAAAAGCTGCTTTTAGTCTCAACCTAGGCCACCTTCCCTCCTCCCACCTTTCCTCCACATCAGCATGACAGACTGGGTCCTACTCATTATCAGCATCCTTGCATTAAGTACAACATACATGCAAATTTGTTTTAGCACCACACTTAAATAGCTACTATCTTGGAAAAAAACAAAAAACACAATCATCATGACAGAGTATGTGAGAGCATTTAGCCTAGTATTTCCATTGCCCTTAAATCTCCCTTCTAACGAAGTCAGCTTTATGTCCACTCACAGTCAGACAACAAGCAATGTCATCATCTAGAGCAAGACGGGTGACAATGCTGTGGTTTTTCAGTTATTAAATCCTCCAAAGACTTCCCTATAAACAGGAGGTTGGCCTGTGAACTTCAGTAATCCTCTCTGGCTGACCTTCAACATCATTTTACAGCCAAGCCCTTTACCTAGGGTAATAAGGGAAGCAAAGCTGAAAGGTTCCACTGAAGCCCTTTCCAGAAATCTGCTCCAACCAGCCATTCTTCTCACATCTCTGCAGGGTTCTCTTCAGTAGATGCACTGTGGGGAAAAAAAAAAGAGAAAGGTTGTGTTACTATCTTAGTCCACTTGTCTAATCTTACTGCTCTTTGCAGTGCCCTCTGAAATAAGAGACAGGGAGTCAGTATGAAGTCTCCTTTCCCAGGACACCTCAAGGGAAATGAAACTGCACCAGAGAGCTGAAGCTCATGAAGACATTACTGCATGCTTCTTTCTACACTCACCAATGATCTGCTGCTTTGTGAAACACTCAGTAAAAACACTGAACTTCAAAGCTTCCCCTTTCAATAATACATACTAAATCACTTCACAATTAATTTTCCCAAAGATTCAAACAACTGATAGGATTCAAGTGCTGGCTCGTGAATTCAAGTTCTGGCCATTTGCAAGCAAGGCTTTAAATTTAAATTAAAGTCAAGAACAGCACAGGTTTTTTAAGAATGATTAGGGCATCATTCTTTCAAAATGCATTCAATAGCAGTGCATAACTACTTCTGCCCAAACACAACTCAAGTCTCAGCTCCCCTGAGAACGTTCTCCAAAGTGTCTGTTAAAATAAGCCTTCACTCTGTTTCATAAACAGGAGCAACACAAACTGTTTTTACCCAGGGTACCAAAGACCAACAGCAGCATGTGAAGGATCTGACTGGAGTTAGAAGTGTGAGGGAAGAATCACAGAATCATAGAATCACAAGGTTGGAAAGAACCTGCAAGATATCTGGTCCAACTGTTCTCCCACCACCACTGCTACCACAAGCACTAAACCGTATCTCATAGCTCCTCATCCAGACGCCTCTTGAACACTGCCAAGGGATGGCGACTCCACCACCTCCCTGTGCAGCCATTCCAGTGCCTGACCACTCTTTGAGAGAAAAAGTCCCTCCTCAAGTCTAACCTAAACCTCCTCTGGTACAACTTGCAGCCATTTCCCTGGGTCCTGTTCGTTGCCTGGGAGAAGAGGCCAAACCCCTCCTCACCACAACCTCCCTTCAGGAAGTTGTAGAGTGCAGTGAGATCTCCCCTGAGCTCCTCTTCTCCAGACTGAACAATCCCAGCTCCCTCAGCCGCTCCTCATAAGATTTGTGCTCCAGACCCCTCACCAGTTTCGTTGCCCTTCTCTGGACACGTTCCAGGCCTTCAATGTCTTTCTTGCACCCAAAACTGAACACAGCACTCGAGGTGCGGCCTCACCAGCGCTGAGTACAGGGGGATGATCACCTCCCTGCTCCTGCTGGCCACACTATTTCTAATGCAGGCCAGGATGCTGATGGCCCCCTTGGCCACCTGGGCACACTGTCAGCTCATGTTCAGCCGAGCATCAACCAACACCCCCAGGTCCCTTTCCTCTTCAGTCTTCCAGCCACTCATTTCCAAGCCCATAGCGCTGCATGGGGTTGTCGTGGCCAAAGTGCAGGACCTGGCACTTGGCCTTGTTGAACCTCATTCCATTCACCACAGCACAGCGATCCAGCTTATCTAAGTCCCTCTGAAGGGCCTCCCTATCCTCAGGCACATCAACACAACCTCCCAACTTGGTGTCACCTGAAAACTTACTGAGGATACACTCAACACCCTCATGTAGGTCAACAATAAAGATATCAAACAAGATAGGCCCCAGTACTGACCCCTGGGGGACGCCAGTTGTAACAGGTCACCAGCTGGACTTCACTCCATTAACCACTACCCATTGGGCATGACCCTCTAGCCAGTTCCTTACTCAAAGAAGGGTATACCTGTCCAGGCCACAGGCAGTCAGTCTCCCCAGGAGAATACTGTGAGAGACCACGTCAAAGGCTTTGTTGAAGTCTAGGTAGACTGCATCAGCAGCCTTTCCCTCATCTACCAGTCTGGTTACCCAGTCGAAGAAGGAGATGAGGTTGGTGAAGCACGACCTGTCTTTCATGAACCCATGCTGGCTGGGCTTGATACCCCAGATGCCACACATGTGCTGTGTGATCTCACCTAAGATCCATAACTAATTGAGCTCCACCTAACATAATGTGGCGCACTGACTGCAAAGTGTGTACCTGCCTGCTTTTACACACTGCCAGATCCTCCTTTGGTTGCTCCTAAAACAGAGCAGAGAGTAGCAAAATTATTTTTAAGTAGTGAAAGGAGAAAAGAGAACAACACATTGCTAGTTGAAATTTCCTCATCTGACTTGCAAGACTGACAAGCACACAAGACCAGCTGAACATGAGCCTCTAAGGCCATGACCTCAGCGGTTCTGAGGACAAACAAGTAAGCTTAGAAACTCTCTTCCCTGCCCCAAGATTAAGAAGTCACATTTGGCATCCACCTCTCATTGGCAAAAAGCCACAGGCAACTTCTTCAGCCTGCACTGCTGGGAGGGAGACTGCATTCCTCTGCACTTTGTTCAACCCTGCCTTAAAGAACTGTGCGGATGCTGAGCTTCAGCTCTAGGTGACAACTGCAAGATCAGCAATCTCTTCTCTGGCCTCAGCTCCAGCGGAACTGCTCCAGCATCACAAAGCCATGGTAACAAGATGATCTACCTTTAGGTCTGATACTACTAGAAACTGCTGCAAGCTCACGCTGCTTTAAATGACCTTCAGCCTACATTAAACAACTGTGTCGGAGCTCAGACCAAAAACCGCAAGAGGCAGGAGAAAATCTACTGTTATTATTGCTTCTGTTCACACAAAATATAAAATATACACTACTGTCATTACTGGCAACAAAGATATGCCAAATATTCCAGATATAATTGGATTAGTCTTTTCCCTCCTCGCTTGCTTTTCAAAATCAGAACCAGAGGAGGTCCTCAAACAAAGTACTAAGACGGATGTTTATGGATTTTTATTCTCATTTTTTTCAAGTTAGACTGTGCAAGTTTTCTAAATAAAAAGCAAGCAGGAACTGTGTTTATGTCAAGCTGCAGCTTTTCAAAACAGAGAAAAATACTGTTGGCAGTTCAAGAACAAAAAAGTAGTTGAAATTCGGCTCTTCCTTCCCAAGTGTTATAGACAAGAGAAACACGCATTATGTCTCAGAAAGTAGTCAGGTTTGACAAGAACTTATGGGAATTAAAAACACTGAGCATCTCTGTGGCACAAAGAGCAGCTTTCTGTTCCCTAGCAAGCTCATCCAAGTAGTTTAAACCTGCCCCAGCATCTGCAGTTGCTGGGCTCTCCTTCAGAGTTTGGGAAAAAAACAAACCAACCAGTAGCCTGGGACTTTACCTTGGAAGTTGGAGTTGGTCCCTGGATGGTTTTCCAGGATATACTTCTTCAGTGCTGTGGTGGAGCAGGTCTTCGGTTCGTTCATGGCCGCAATAGCAGACAGGATGGCATCTTCCATCAGAGTCCCACCCAACAGGGGCTTCTCCCCTGACTTCTTCAGCTATTTTCCAAGGAGGAAGAGAAAAGCATCAAGACAAAATTCTCCCAAACCAGGTCAGGACAAGCTCCTCTGCACCAGGTGGGTCGGCGCTCCTGCATTAGCACAGATACGTTTTATATTAAAACACTGCAGAGGGAACGCAGTTCTCCCAGCTTTAATGGTAGGACAGGCCTACTGAGTCAGCTGGCCTGGAGTGCTTTCCATTGGTAACACACTGTCCCAGTCCCAAAGCACACTGCAAGCATGTGGCAACCTAAGGGCCTGTCACTCGGGGAAGGAAATAAATCACACTTTCCTCCATCCCACAGACCAAATGTACCCAAGAGACATATATGGCACAGACACATGGAAGAACACTGCAGACATCTGGGGTACCCACTGCATTTACAATTAGCAGTGGAAAGCTTACCCCACCATCTCCCCTGCTGTGCTAATGACTCAGAGCTGAAGCAGTGTGCAGAGCATGCTAAGCAAGGAAGGCAGGGGGTTCTGGTTCCATAAATGCAGATCAAGCAGAGAGAGTCCTACTGTTTCATAGTTTGACAACTGCTCAACATGACAGGCTACTAAAGAAAGGGGCACCCAATAAAACTGGGGTGGGGAGAGCACGTTAACTTATATCCAATGCTCCTGGTTATTACAGACAACAAAAGAAGACGAACTCCGGCTCTGACCTGGAATGTCCCAGATGCTCCTTTCCCTGTGATCTGCTCTAGCTGGCCCTTTTCTACAGCTCTTTGCAGGGCATTCTTCAACAGCTGGGGTCTGAAATACAGGAGGATGCAGCTTTACTGACACACACCGACAGCTTAAAAAACAAACAGAGAAACAACGCTCTACAGAGAACGTGAGAGAAGCTGTACTTACAAGAGGTATCTGCCTACATACAGACGTTTTAAATGGAGATCTGTCAGCAAGTGCTGGTTACATGAGATGAACAACATACATTAGTGGAAATTCTACTGCAGTGCTTTTTGGGTGTCACTGCATATCCAGAAACAAACAAGCTTCATTTGGAAGGATTTATTCGTTTCAAAACACACATCTGTAGATGGGACTCAGTGGGCAATGAGTCAGTCAGCTCACCGACAAACAAGTACAAGCCCCAGTATGAGGTGATGCATGGAATGGCCTTCATATCCATACATCTGTGAACCATATCTGGTTCTTGCTAAGGGCAGAGATGCATACAGCACTGCTGATGTCAGCATCAAGAACAAAGATCAGGCACGGAGGGATGCAGAGAAAAGGCACAGCTCTTCTCAAGCTTTCCTCCAGGCTGTACAGTGCAGAGCACCACCTGCCTGCTGCCTGATGAAATACTGAATTACTGCAGAGGGAGGCAAAGCCAGAGGAAGACAGCATTTCAGGGATGCTCTGCTTCAAGAGCCTACCCCTGCACCTACCTGATATCTACTTTGAGTTTGGGATAATACTGAGACACATATTTCTTGATCAGGCTGTAAGAAGCTTCTTTTGGCTCACAAAGACGGGTGAAAGCCAGTGGCAGGATGTCTTCCAGCTTCACTTGTTGCTCTGGAGTCGAAATGGAAGTGCTTTTCTGAAATACATACACTTTTATGCATCAGTGGGGCCTAGACCTGTTTCCTTCTGAACCAGCAATGCACAGGTAAGGAGAAGTGCTCCTGACACTGCCACAGATCTGGAAAATCAAGTTCTGTAAGACAGCTCTTGGAATTTAGACAATTAAGCATTTTGAGTAAAATCTAGCAAATCTGTTGGAATTCTCACGGTAGTTTAGCAAAGTCTAGTAAAGATAAATATACTCAGTATTTAGCAACAACTATATTTCCTGTTTTTTTATTTTTTTATTTTTTATTTATTATTAATTTATTTATTTTAAGTAAACACTTTCCTTCCCTCTTTATTTTAATAGAGGCTTTTTTCTCTGTTACAATGACAGAGTCGTGTGAAAACGATTCATGCTGACAAAAAAACAAAAACCATCAAAGACAAGACCTGTTTATACAGGTCCAATTTTCCCAACAATAAACAGCACTTGTGTTCAACTGACAGCATGAAGTTTTGCTTGGAGGTAACATTCCTTTCTCCTGAATTCTCCTCCATTGTTTTGTTGCTATCAGGAGGGGATGATTCCCTTTATGTAAAGAAGAGAAAAGACAGCCAGGAAATCTGCTGAAGTCTAATGATTTTGATACTGAACAGGAACTTTGTGAATGGTCAAACAGGTGAGGATGCTGCTCACCCAGACAGCTGCTCACCTGCCAGCTAAATTCACCAAAATCAAAAGCCATCCACTTGTTTTGCTGTGATATGGAAAAAGCAACTAAAAACAAATACACAAATATGCTGCAAACAAGAGAAGTAATGTGTTAATAGTTATCAGGTGCCTTACTCAAACTTGCCATGGAGCCCACAGTTCTATCCAAAAAGAAGTTACGTCTAATTAGTTTTTTACAGTATCCTGGTATTGAATGTGCCCCTATTACCACCAAGTTTAGGCCTTAGGGTCTGCCCCATAGCCAAGAGGTAAGCACCAGAGTGCTAGAAAACTGTCTGGGATCACCTGTCTAAGCCAGCAATTCCAGCTACGCATTTTGAAACTGCAGCATTAGAAGTGTTTTTCACACATTTAGTGGGGAGCAGAGAACAGCAGTGCTGGAACACAACTAATTGTGAGAACCAGACTCAGACATGACAGTACCTCAGAACAATACACACCCAACTCCTGCAGCTTCCCTCCAGAAGCCTTAGGACATTCATTACTTCCTCCCTCTGTCCTCTCAGACAATGGAAAACGTTTGTCTGATAGACAGTGCTGAAGATTGAAGTCTTCCATTTATCCACGCAACAGATAAAACAGAAACAGCAGTTGCAGAAAGTTCTCTTACAATACCTGAGAGGCATCTCTCTCTACCAGGTAAAGACAGAAGAGGAACTTCAGGGTTATTCAGTTTTCTGCCTCAGAACCAAAGCCTAGGGGTTTAATGTAAACATTTTAAAACTAAGATTTTGATTATTCTACTTAATTTCTCATACTAGCTTTCTGATTCTGATTTCAGTGAAACAGATACTTTAATTACTGTACTTGGAAAGGAAAGGTACAGCAAGGAGGAGGAAATTGTTCAAGTTGGGCTAAGCTGCATTTCATAAGATGCATGTGTTTCAGAGTAATGTTTGAAGCACTCCACCTTACCTTTCTGTCTCTGGCTTTCTGAACAGTTTTTCCTGCATTAGAAACCACCACGAAGCTTCCAGAAGCTCCCTTCCCTTTCACCTAGTTCAAAACAAAGTCTGTGTCAGCCTTTAGCAAAGTAACACAGGATAATAACTGTTTGAAGGAGACTAAGCAACACTATTTAACAGATTTTGAATGAATGCTCATCCCGGTGATTAACTGTGAGGGGCAGAAGTTGGATTTGAATCCACTTCAGTAGATCAGAAGCCACGGCTAGACATAACAAACATACTCTCTTGCCTTGACCAGGAGATCCTAACAAAATTGGCATCACAGCTATAAGCTACAGCATTGAAGGCAACATGCTGCTGCAGAAGTGATGTTGCTAGACTCAGGTTGAAGATGCATCATACAGCAACACAGCAGCAATTTATCACCATGAAACAGTCACCTCCCAGTGCACAGAAGACGACACTGCACTGCGTCTGACTGACAGAACCATGCAGAAATTCTATCAGTGTCTAACAAAATGGACACAGAGATTGAAGAACCTCCAAGAGGATGATCATGATCTCCCCAGAGGTCTGCTAATGGTTTCTTAAATTCCTGCATGATTCAGTAATACCAGCAGCACCGTTCTGCAGAGTGACCCTTACCTGCCTGATGATCCCCCTCTCCAGCTCCCTTTTCAAGGCTTGCTTTAGAAGATAGCCTCTTCTCTCCAGCTCCAGGGAAGGGTATTTGTGGATGATGTATTTACGTATTGCAACAACTGATGCGCCGCTCTTCTGAAAGCATGCCTGCAACAGGATCAGAAGTTGGTGAAGAACATCTGGACTGAAACTACTTTGCTATGGGACCAGAGAAGAGAGACTGAACTGATGATGATGCACACAGGCCAGCACAGGATGACCTTTTTCCTACAATGACTCAGGAGTAGAAAACATGAGTAAGAAAATACATAACTTTCTCTTTCAGAGTGGCTGAAGAGCAGACAAACACAAGAGCAAAACAGCAAGCATGTCAACTACTCTCCTATTCTGAAGCACTCAAAAGCAATGGTGTATACACTACATGCTATTATAAAAAATAGCTACATCTGGGCAAGCCAGCACTGCCCAAACCAGTGAGTCATTAGTAATTCATTATAACGATGTCAGATAGAGTGATCATTAACAGATTAGTCAGAACAAGTTGTTGATATCTTTTGAAGAAGATAAAGGATTTGAAGTCCATAATCTTGAATCTTCAAAGACAGTAATCGTCATGTCAGCCAGCTTGTATCACTAGAGTCCTCCAATCAGGGATCAGAGTGGGACAAAACAATTGTGTTTTAAACTGTAGAGACATACTGTAGAAAATACCAGCTGTGACTATACAAAGCCCTCATTGTTTAAGCAAGTTACCAGATCTGTATGGCTTCAGAAAGCACAGTACAGGATAAAGTTTACTTAATGCACAGTATAAGTAAAACACTGAACTTCATTATCTGCCCTGATAACTCTACAATGTTACCAGAAATATAAAGCTTGGAGTAACCTGAAGTTTATAGCATGGCTTCTCTCAGTCTAACAAATTTGGATGCACAACAGTGTGCTTCAGGGGCTCAAAAGGCCATCCTGTAATTAAAGCTGGTGGAGTTCAGATCTCTGGGGAAGGCAATCTGCATGAACCAAGTCTCAAGGTGAAGACAGCAGAGTTGCAGAGTGACTACAACAGCACAAGTCTCTTCTTACAAGCAGAAGGAAGCATACAGCCAACTAAAACCAACACCACTCGGAATGCTAGCTTGAAGTATTTCCATCTGCTCTTAATTACAGTAAGATGCTGGAAAAGATATGCATCAAGTAGATTAATCAAGGTAAACCAAGTTAACTATGGCTAGGAGACACATCAAATTAAAGGACACCAGTAATCAACCAGGTGACATCATCAGAGCTGTTTCTAATATTTTAACCAGGGAGGGAAACAAATTCAAAACAAAGAAAAGCTACAGAGCCCCTCCATCATCATCATCACATCTCAGCTCCATGGGTTTCCAGACAGAAGCATACATGCCTCACAGTTAAGTTTCCCACTAAGATGACAGCACTATCACTTGTACCATCAGAAAGCTGAAGCCATAAATTGTAGTTTGTCCTTTTGCTTTGTGACAGGTGAACAGAAAGAAAGACTTGACTCCTACTTACCTTGATGGCCTCAGTTAAAATAGCATCCATCTTCGGACGTGAAGTGGCAGCCATCTGAGTTTGTTTCTGTGCCCTAGCCAGCTGGCTAGCAGAAAGAGTAGCCCAAGCAGGAATGGTCTTTTTCACCTTCTTCTCCTTTTCCTTAGACTGATCTTTATCACTTAGGGAAATGCAAAGCGATAATGAGATGGGAGAACGTAAAACAAGCCAACAAGTACAACAACAAGAAAATATGCCTAGAACATTTAACACTGAAAATACTTCTTCCTGTGAAAGATGGGCATCTTTTTTAGGGACGCACCCTATTTTCTCTATCTCTCCCATAATCTTTTTCATCTACAGAACCAGTCTTTCTCCTACCCAAATTCAGCACTAAGCAAGCCTTACTCCTTTTTGGTTTCTTCTGAGGACTTTGTTTCCCCCTTCTCTTCATTCTCAGGTTCCTTTGGCTGTTCTGCTTCACTAGGTGCAGCAGCAGGCAGGGTTTCATTCTCTTGTTCTTCTCCAGCAGAGGCAGATTCCTCAGAAGTGGCTTCTGCATCTAAAAGATGTAAAAATGTATCAGGTTACTATTCAAAACTGGCCCCTGCTCTTAGTTAAGGCGAAGGATTTAAAAAAAAAAAAAGTACTAACATACCCTAAAAATGATTTCCAACCTGTTTCTTTACTCTAATTTTAAGGGATGATTTGAATTTATGAAAGAAAGTGAACAAAGGTACTGAAAGAGCTTCAGTATGGTGCAACAAGCCATCAAATGCCAGCATCAAACAAATCACACAGTATTTTCACAATGAGCTAATTTCCCATACTTTTCTTATGTCAGTAACTTAAGTTACTGTTGCAATCACTTCCCATCACAATGCCTACAGGTGAGGAAGAAGAAAATCACTATCATGGAAACAGAAGGTTTTCCCCTAAGTTAAGTTTTATGCATTTTAACTAAAAAAGGTGTAAAACCATATAATTCTAGAAGAGATTATTGAAGATGAGCATAAGCAGCTTTGTTTACGACAAATGCATCTTTAAATACTGCTTTTTCAGCACTACATGCTGTGGTAACTGAAGTATTTTAACTATTCAATCACATCTGTCCAGATCTGGCAAAGCTTTATGCTGCACATTTATCAGCAATAGCACTTGTCTCTCAGCAAAATCAAATCCAGTCAGAAACCAACTTACCAAGCAAATTAACTCAAGCACATCTAGTCAAGAGCAGGCCTTAAGAGACTGATCTGCCTAATGGATAACATGCGAATAGAATTATAGTCACAGAATTCCTCAGGTTGGAAAAGACCTTCGGGATCATCAAGTTCAACCACAACCTAACCAAATATAAACTGCTGTGACCCAGTGGCTAAAGTGCTGTCTGTCATGATGCCTTTGTGCACTGCACCAGTTTTCTGTCTTTGAGAAGAAGCTTATGCATTGCTGCTCCATTCCTGTGCATAGCTTTCCTCCCATGAAAGCCCTATGTTTAAAATTTAAATGTGTATTAATAGTTATTTTCCTAGGCAACACACACAGTCATCCCACCAGTGAGAACAAGCTCACTGAAACTTAATGAAAATCCCACTGAAACACATTCTGAGAAACTAGGGTGAAGCTGCTGGGTCAGACACATTAATTAATACCAGGCTTTATTACATGGTGTGGTAAAATACTTCTGTTCAGGAAAATAAAAATAATTAAACACTTTGGTTTTCCATCCATTAATTCCTCCTTTCAATTCCAAGCCATTTTCTTATCACTACTGAAAGTTCCCAATTTCTACCTTTATTCAGAAGAATATGCAAGCCTAGAAGAGATGACAACTAGCTATATTTTCATATTCAGAGAGTCAAGGCTTTGCCACAGGGTACAAAGCACAAACCAAACTATTTCCCACTGAAAAGCGTACAATATTCCCAGCAGGCCAAGAACAGCCTGTAAAAACAAGGCAAGCATTAGGATTTTGACCACAGCTGTAAGATTTTTTTTGGCAACTTCAGTATCCAAACCTATGCTTGGATGCAACACCACGGCTGGCTACAACAACCCAGCAGAGAGTTGTTACAGTACCTGCTTTCACCTCTTCGCCACCTTCAGCAGGTTTGCTTTTGGGAGGAGTTTCTCGAGAAGAAGAATTAACGGAGCGGCGGATCGGCATCGCGTCGTCTTCAGCTTTCTACAAAAAGCATTTATGAGTCAGTACAGATGCTGGGAAGACTCAGAAAGCTTTTGAGTTGGGATTCAAGTAAATCAGAGCAGCATATGTAGAAATATTCTAGTTACGTTCATATTTTTCAGAATTTTCAAGACAGTAATATCCAGCCCAGCACCTTTGAAGTAGATCAGGAGAGGACAGTTTTGCATTTCATAGTTAGAAAACAAGTAACATTTCATTCCACATTTAATGAGATGAGCATTCGGGGATTTTGACAACTGCAGCATCTCATGGGAAGCAAGGAAGGGGAAAGACAGCACCTAGAGGGTTTATTGGGCTCCCAATGGAGTTCCCTAAAACCAGGAGAGAAAGAGTGCGAAGAAATCTTCAGCAGGAGTGGAAGTCAATGACTGATCCAAGGGCAAGCCTGGAGAATGGGTCAGCCCCTACCTCACTTAACTTGTCCGTGTGGATCAGCTGAGTTCCCGTTAAGAGTGGAAGCGCCTTATGATGCACGGGTTCAGCTTCAGACAGATCAGTCGCCATTTAAAATTATTTCTAGCCCCAAGTGCACGTAACACTGTGGAGCCCCAGGTTTTAACCCCAAGGACTTTTTCCTAACGGCTTTCACAATGCAGTGAGGAGTCAACCTAAAGTACAGAAAAGATGTGGTGTGAAAATTAACAAAACGGAAACATCTACGTGCACGTATCTAACAAACTAAAGACTGAAAAGAATAAGTGACTTAGCTCATGGCTAACATAACTGACAAGCAACACTGGCATTCAACAGAGATGCAAAGACATATACACAAACTTGAGCGCTATGGGTGTAGCAGAAATGGCAAAAGTAGAAGCCAGACCTGCAGCCTGCTCCATTACACATACCTGAATGAATAAAGATGCTATTTAAATTAACAAAAGCATTAACAAAGAGCAGTCATTGCACCATGCTCAAAGCCAAGCAATGAAGAAGCTAAACTAATAAGCCATCCTCTTCAGGGAAAAGCATGCCCTGATATACTGACACAGCTTCTGTTAGCCTAAGGAATTAAACCATTTAACCTGCTAGGATAAAATAAAACAGAGACCCTCCCAAATTAAACCCCACGCAACATAAAGAAATGCACGAATCCTTGTATGAGAAAACAACCATCAAAACCTTTGACAACATGTTAAAGTTTTGCAAGACTCTCCTCCAAACACAAACACAGTCGTGAGCACCAATTACGCTGATCAAGCCTCAGTCACCCCTTGCTACCATCCTATTATGCTATCACAGCCTCTTACTGCCGCCCATCTACCCGGCTCAGCCCCTCTGAAGGAGGGATGCTCCTCCTCACACACTGCCAACTCCAGGCCTTACTTTGTCACCCTCTTCTCCTCTTCTCACCACCTCCCTTTAAAAGCCTCAAAAGCAACACCTCACTTGTGGCAAACTAGGGCTGCACCCGCACTCCCTGGTCCAGTAGATCAAGCTGCAGAGTGCCCTCTTCCCCTCTTAATGGAGAAACAGCCTAACACTCCCAACCACTAATTCTCCACAGTTTCCTTCACTCTTGTCCTTTCACCACTCAGCAGTAGGGCTTCCTGTGGACCAGAGGGACTCTCTCCACACCAGTTGCTGTCCCAGGCAACCCAACACCCAGCTCACCTGCAGAGAGCACTGCTGTCGCCCCCCAGCTATGGCTGCAGTGCACATTCAGAACCCAACAGCGGGGAAAGAAGAGCGGAGGGAAACGTGTGTTAATTAAGGTAAGATGCCTTTGCAAGGGCCAACAACCAACAGGCAGCAAACTGCCTTCCCCAAATAATCAATCACTGATTAAAACTGATACGTTAATAAACTTGAATGCTGACTGCACACACCTGCACACAGAGAAAGCAAAGCACACTGCATTCCAAAGACAAAATAAATGAGATGAACAGAGCTTTCTGATGAAATGTCAGGATGGAAAAAGGAAAACTAACAGCCAGTTTAGAATATATGAACCCAGCAGTTCTTTATCTTGTAGGACTTTCCTTCCTCACTGGCAGAAAGGACAGAATGAAGAATTCCACCAGCTTTCAAGTGGGAATCAAATGTTTTTTTTCCTAAGAAGAAAGATAGAACAGGAATTGTATCTAACATCCCAGCCTCACACATTGGATACAGCGGCATCCTGGGAAGTGTCCCAAGCACTGCTTTTAAAGAAATGGAAAGTATTGTGCATGTTTTGCAGTTGTACAAATGTCAGACTGAGCACTGCAAGCAGGAAGAGGCCAAAAATCTTTCTGGATTCCTAGACTAGCTGAAATGATGGATTGCATTCAGTCTCAGCTCAAGGAGTGGAAAATCCAGGCAAAGTTGCAAGCAGGTTTTCCATGAACCAATTAGAAAAATATCCCTGCACTGATTTCTTTCTAATCCATCTGCAAGCTGTTAAGAGGAAAAAAAAAAAAAAAAAAAAAAGCATGAAATACCACCACAAAATGAGAGGTGTTAAGTGAGACATGTGCATTTTGGACAGTATTTCAAGAGCAGATTTCCCTCACCATTTAACAGAAGAACTTTACTCAAGTTAACCCAAGGCACAGCCCAACTGACTCCTCAAACTGCTGCTGGCCATAAGATTTTACAGCTTATCTCAGACTGTGATCTCAGCCAAGGAAAAATGTTTTGGGATAAAATCAGGTCTGGAATGTGGCAAGCTGACCGTGGCACTGTCTCTTGGTTGGGTATCCAGGCCGGGTGGTCTGAAAGCAAATATGCCACAGAGAAATGAGAAAGCACATCCAACCCTGTGCTGGAAAGGGTGTCCCCTTACTGTGGCACAGTGTGCACACAGTGGCTGACACTCATAGACACAAGGCGGTAGCGTGGAATACCCTGTGCAATGTGTGCCCAGAAATCAGATCAGATGGGCAGAAGAAAGCATGTGTTCTTGCAGATCTGAAGCTGCCAAAGGATGTGAAGTTGACAACATTACAAGCAGTGCAAACAAGAAGGACTGTTTATTACCAACAGGCTTAAGAAAGAAAAATAACTGGATTTCAAAACAAAGCTATTGATTATCATGCAGTTATCTGCTACTTTCTGATGTTGTGTTGAGCAACTGAACATTTAAATGTCTCAGAAGCCATAGGAAAAAAAAAAAAGAAGCACATGGAAACATTACTATTTCAGCAAAGCAAAAGTGAAAATCCAAAGCAAACATGCAAAAATGTTACCTTCTGAACTGCAAGGCAGCCCACTTGATCAAGACTTCTAGCCCTCTTAAATCCTCAAAGCTCTTCCCTAGAAGTCCCAGCTAAGGTGGAAGACACCCTACTGCAAATCCTTCAGTATCTACATCACCACAGAATATACCACCTTTGATAGAAACTTGCTTTACAAAACAGATCCATCAGAAGTTCTCAGCTGGTTGCCGCTCAGCCTGCTACACAGTGATGTTCCAGTGTTTACTGATCTCGCTTTTGTTTTTGCAACTCAGAGAGCAGCCTGCCACACCAATTAAATCAGACCAGCAGTATCAAGTCATGTTGAGCAGCCCAAAAATGTGCAGAAAAATAAAATATCTGACTGCATGAAGAATACAAGTTAGTCCCACTTCTAATCCTTATCTGGCAACTTGCTTGGAAATTCACTCCTGTTCCTCATCAGCACTTCAGCACACTGAGCCATCAGAGCTCTGCATGCTCTGCCCCATCCAGAAGCAGCTGTTGCTCCTTGCAGTCACCACACTGTCTCCATTTCCTGGGAGGTGCCCTACTTAAACACACTTCTCAGCTAAGCTACAAGGGCTGCACTCAGCTCTCCTGTGGTCGAGTCTCCCTGAGATCTGTTACAGGTTATCCGAGCTCCATGCTGCTAACAGCACTACAAACCATCTTGTTTCAATTAAAGAAGAGCACTGGTCCAATGCAAAGATCCAATAGCTCACCACTTGGCAGGCAAGAAATTATTTGGCTTGACTGGTGTTACAGCTTCTATTTCCATTGACTCCTTCCCTATAATGTTAAAATCCCAAACACATTAGGGTTTGAGGGAGCACAGAGAAAGCCTTCTACCTTTCTAGCATTGAAGCATATGCATTCCTACATACGGACATCCAGTGGAAGAGTTTTTGTTTGTTTGAAGTCTGATGGTATGTTTTCATTTCAGGGTAGTATTGAATTGAGCCCACAGACCCCAAACACCTCTAAACAGAAGCTGACTTGTACCTTGGTTATGCTATTGAGCTCTACACAGCAACACAAAGATTAAACACTGCCATTCTGCACATACAGATGCTGCTTCCATTGCAAAAAGCAGCGCATTCCTGCATCTCTGCCTGCCCACCTGGGACCAAGCTCAGCACCTCTCCCTCTGGGATACAGAGCAACTCAGAGCCAGCTCAGTTTCAACAGGTATTTATTAAAATAGAAGGAAAGAGCCATTCACCTTTGCCATTCTCCACCACCAAGAACACTAACTCAATATAAAAAGAAGTACAGGTTTCAGATTTTCTCCATCCATCCTTGACCTGTACAGACAGGAAGAGAAGACTGCTTCCACAGCCTGGATTATCTTCTCTCCTTATATCCAGCAGAAATTCTTCATGTCCAAACACACATACAGAGACAGACACTGGGAGACTTCAATTATGTCACTACTATACCTGGAAACTTGAAAAATTTCAGTTACAAGATTAATACAAAGCAGAGTTCCTGCCTGCATAGCTGCATGAAAACAACCCCTCAATGCACTGATGCTCAGAACTGATGGGACAACGTTTTCAAAAAATTTTGAGTCCATGATCTGGATTCTCCATGCATTCCTACTGGGAGAGGCAATCAAAGAATGAAGCAGGCTACATCGGAATATGCAAGGTTCAGCTTTCAGTTTACAGCAGGTGTAGCTCACAGACTTCTAGCTATTCCAGCATGAAAGCTGCTGCTGAGTTTCATCTAAGATGACAAAACTTTTTAATTCCAGGATCCAACGTTATGAGTTTCGACAAACCATTGACAACCAAATGAAAGTTCAGGCTGTAACATTACACACCAGGATAAAAACCTGTTATAGGCAACACCCTCCATGCTTATACAGTCTACATTTAACACCACCATACAAACCCTCCTGAGCTATGACTTATTCAGCCACCACTCATAACATGGCATCAGCACTACCTAAGGAAAGCTACAAATTCCTGGTGCTCCATAAATCTACTCACACCTCATATTAGAGTCCATCAATGTAAAACTCCTCATGTTCCCTCTCAAGGAAGTCAAAATAGAATTATAGAATGGCCTGGGTTGAAAAGGACCACAATGATCATCTAGTTTCAACCCACCTGCTATGTGCAGTCGCCAACCAGCAGACCAGGCTGCCCAGAGCCACATCCAGCCCGGCCTTGAATGCCTCCAGGAATGGGGCATCCACAGCCTCCTTGGGCAACAAAAAAAAAATCCTCAAGAACAGCCTGGCTTATTTTTAAGAAAACACTGGCAAAAGAAACATCAGTTTCTACTGAAAGGGAAAACTGGAGAAAAAGTCACAGAATGGCCAGGGTTGGAAGGGACCTCAAGGATAATGATTCTCCAGTCCCCTGCCACATGCAGACCTGCCAGCCTCCACATTTAATACCAGCTCAGGCTGCCCAGGGCCCCATCCAACCTGGCCTTGAACACCTCCAGGGATGGACAGGGCATCCACAGCCTCTCTGGGCAGCTGTCCCAGCATCTCACCACTCTCTCTGTAAAGAACTTAAATATATATATTTATGTATGTATATATTCTGGAGAGAAAAATAACTCCAGTAGTACAAGCTGAGAGAAGTGCAGCTCTTCCCTCTGTTCTCACCTGCTGTGCACACAGTTTAACAACAGAATTCCTGAAGTTCCTCAGCTCCATCAGAACAGCTGCTGGCCAAGCGTTTCTTAAAGACGCTAAAAGCACTACGTACAGTAAAAACAAACAAAAGAAACCACATGCCCGAACGACCGGAGAGCGGCTAAGACCTGATAAGGGCTCATTAACCCAAAGATCCCTCGGCGGCCGATGGGGACTCCCGAAATACCGGGCAGACCCAGCTGTCAGCCCGCAAACGGAGCGAACGCACCCGGCGCCCAACCAGCCCCATCCTCCAGCACGCACCGCGACCGCGGGAAAGGCCGCAAAACGGGCGGGAAGGGCTCGCTGCGGGCCGTGGGGAAGCAGCGTCCTGTGAGGGAGCTGGGGGAGCCGCCGCGCCCCGCACCGGCCGCGCTCCCGCCAGGGACACCGAACACGGCCTGCAGCGGCGCCGGGACCCGCGGCTCCCTTCGGGCTCCGGGCAGCGACCGAGCGAAGGAAAACAAACGGAACGGCGGGGAAACCGAACGGGTGGCGCTCGGGGCCCGGCCGAGGCCTGCGCGGACGCCGGGCCGCGCCGCGACACCCCCCCGCCGCGAGGCCTATCGCGACACGGCGCGGCGCCGAGGGCGGTTCCGGCGGGCCGCCTCCGCGCCCCGAGGCCGAGCAGGCCGCTCCCCCCTCCCCGCCGTGCGGCGCCGGGCGGGGCCGGCCCTCACTCACCAGCGGGCCCGGCGGACACAAAGCGGCCCTCTAATGGCGGCGGCGGGGGAACCGGCGGGGGAGGGGTGGGGGGGGGCCGGGGCAAAGGGGCGGGGGCGGGGCGAGGGGGGGCGGGGCCGCGCCTGTAGGTGGGCGGGGCCTGACGGAGCCGCCGGCCAATGAGGAGCCGCGGGCATTTTTCGAACTCCAGGCGTTCTCCCCCTTTCCCTCCCTCCACCGTGGATGTGCGCGTTCGCGTGCGCGTGCGCGGCGCCTTCCCGCCCAAGGCTGCGCTGAGGCGTTTCCCGCCACGGCCTCCTGAGGGTGCTGAAGGGCTTCGCGCTCACCCCGCGGCCTGCAGCCTCACCCCCTCAGCCCCTTTTTTCTTTCTCGTGTTCCTTCGGATTGCCCTTTTCCGATTGGTTTTTTTTTTTGCTGTTTGTTTTGTTTGTTTGTTTGTTTTCCCCCGGCCTTTCTGCTTCCCCTTCACCGGGTTCAGGGTGCCTCCATTCCCACTTACCTCAGACAGCTCTACACACAGCTGCCAGGCCGCAGCGTCTCCTCAGAGCCTTACAGTGTGCGATTCCCAGTGTCACAAAGCTATTCCGCACACCCAGTTGGTTCCTCAGCTATGTTTCCTACCCCTAGCTCCCCACTGGCACCAGTGTGACATGGGGAAGGCACTCAGGCCTTCATTTGGGCACCAGCACCCAAAAGCCACACCACGAGCACTACTAAGAGGCACTTAAACCATCCACAGAGCAATGAAGGTGTTTGGTTTTCACACTGCGACTGTTTTTTGTCTCAGCTTCTTCCACCTTTCTCCCCTCAGGTAGCTGCTACACCTGAGAGTGTCCCTTCCCTAAGCTGGCTGCTGTGACTGAGGTCATCTTCTCCACCTAGCCCTTCTCCATGGTGTTGTGCTTTCTCCTTTGTCTCCTGCACAGAACAGCCTTAGCCAGATGGTTCCACTTTGCCAGACATTCCTTCATTTCTTGTGAGTGCAGAATAACCGCAGCGCAGCTGCACAGCAATGTGTTCTTTGGCCTTTCCCCCCAAGTGGTGCCTCTCTGGCAGGAGGGGGGATTAGGAGGAGAGGGAGCAAGAGGAAACGTGCTGCTTTGCTGCAGACTTTTAAGACACTATAAAGGAAAAGACGAAATCATGCCAGCTGCCCTCCCTTTGCTCACTGCAAGCCTTTTTGCAATACTCTAGCACCTGCGCTTGCTGAGACACAGAGCTGCACTGACATAAGCAGAGGAGGAGAAAGGCTTTTGTTGTCTCTCTCTGTCTCTCTTTCTCTCTCTCTTTTTTTAATATCTCTAAATCCTCCCCAGAGGGGAGCTGTGGGCCCTGTGCATTCCTTACAGCCACATGCCTGCCTGACCACAGTGGGCTGGGAAGCCTGCAAAAATACCATGCCTGGGCAAGGCAGCTGCATCCCACAGAGGGAGCATGGCACTGCTCAATCTCCTCTCCACCCTACTTTCTGGGTGGACTGATGTCGTTTCCCCCCTCCTCCTCCTGTTCATATAGTGTATCACACGGAGAAGAGTGAAGGTTTGGAAACCACGGTGACCTTGCACACATTGGTGAGGATGCACAGGAGGAAGGGAGCTGTGCAGGACAGAGAAATTGCCATTGAACTGTGATTATATGCAGCACTATCATCATCATCATCAAATACTTTCAATAAGTGCTAAGCACTTGTGCCATGCAATAGTATGAACCCCAGCTGGTTCATGGATTTTTTTTTCCTTAAAATCATTCAATTTGATTGCAGCCCTAAAGGTTCTACAAATTTGCCTGGAGGTTTGGGTTTTGCCTGTGCAGTTCAGCCTGCAGTTTAAATCGTGTCATTTAGCTATTGCTACTGTTTAGATGACTATCCATAAAATTTGCATGTCGAGTGATTTACCATTTCCACCCCATATCCTTTAGAGACTCTCCAGACCAATGCCACATGTTCTTTTTCTACTGGAAACACAAAACCCGTTGTACTTCTGGTCTCAATACTTCCATTCCAGGGGTCACAAGCCATTTTGTTTACTTTCTTACCATACACCAACTAATGTTTTCCCCATTTTGTCACAATTTTTACATAGAGATATATATATTTTTAAATTTAACAAACACATCACCCATGTTGTTGAACAGCTACCCACTTCATACAGAACAAAACAGAGGATTATCACTACCCATGTCATGGTGTGCTCTGTATACACCGGAATCAGCTTCTGCTGCCATGTGCACAGTCCTGCTGGCTTAGTGAGCATAGTGTCTTTGTCACCAAATTCTGTTTTCATGTTGGCCTGCAGCTTCAAACTTCGGTGTTAATTATATTTAGGCCTTGCCTCTGGTATCCTTACCCCACTTCAGCAAATTTGTTCTTCACTTTTTTACCTTGACTTTCACATTTGTTTTGTAAAACCTTTCCAAAATGTTTGGCCTACAGTCAGCATGGCTCAGGGAGAATGTGAATCTTTTTCCATTTCATTCCACATCAGGAGCACGGCAAGCTGGGGAACTCCTTCCCATTGCTTCATTCTTTCATCCCTCAAGCTCCACGTTCTTCTACTTCTTCAGCTTCTTGTGCTTTGAGAAACAAATCAAAGATTCCCCGAGAAGCGTTCATCAAACTGGGTAGCACGTGTTTACTGATTCTTCCCTTTAAACCTGTTTCTCCCGGACTGTGTATCTGAGGTATCTGAGGAACGTAATTTGCGGTTTGATGTAACCTTAAGACATGCTGTAACAGAATGAGCCTGTTGTTGCTGGCAGCATGATTGCACTATTTGATGGGAGTCAGGCTGTGCCATTTTAAGTGTATGGCCACAGCTGCTAATTCTGCAGTAAACATTCCGGGGAAGCTCACAGAGGGCTTGAGCAGGACCCTTCCTTTTCTGCCTTGAGGTTTCTGTTCAGCAAGTGGCGTGCCTGGCTGTGAAGGGAGAGCCTGGCTGATGTTTTCAGCTTAACACAGATAACAGGGAATGGTGTTGAGTATAACTGTCCCAAAACCATCACAAACTCAAAGCATTTAATTAATCACTTCAATATGTGAGAGACCACCTGGGCTGAATAAAGCCCCTCTGGAGCATGCAGAAGTATGAGGTGAAGAAGGACTTGTCTGCTTTATGAAACACGGGCCATGGACAGCATACACTCAGTTCCTGACTGTTGGAAGAACTGCTGTGATGTTCTTTAACCACAGCTTTTCACTTTGTTGCCATTCTGGGCATGTTTGGCTACTTGACTGACTGCACATCTGTAATGATTGCCAGAACAACTTAGAATTCTCTTCTAACATACTGTGTTTGCTGCAACTGTGCAAAAATCACTCAGTTTCTGCTTTCAAAAAAAAAAAAAAAAAAAAAAAAAGCATATTCTCTGACACTTTGTGGCCCTCCAGACACTACCTTTGATCTCTTTATTCTTTATCAGCCTCCAATAATTTTTTCTCCATACTTTTTCAGCAGACTATTCCTCATTCCACTCCCATCTGATTTGTTGCTGCCCCTCTACAAACTACCCATTAGGGATCCCAGCTAGCTCTTCTTTTCAAACCCTTTCCAATTTTCCAACCAGTATTCTGTTCATCTGCTTACTTTCAAACTTGTCCACTCATTTTCATATTAGTTCCTAACCAAATGAATAAAAATGTGCTTAAAAATACAAAGTTCGATTTCTTCTGGAGCCATGATGGATTTTTATGTATGTACCTGCCACTGGAACTGACAGAAATTTTGACCATAAAGAAAGGACCTTGAAGAAAAAATGTTGTGGTCTAAGTTGCCTCCACAGGCTGCTGCTTTTCTAGAGATGCCCTAATCTGAAATAGATCCTTATGACTGATGAGGCAGATATGATAATCACAGGGAAAACAGTGGCTGGAAGTTGTGATTCTTCTGTCACACTTCTGGCATTACAGCAGTGATTTATTTTACTCTAACCTGGCAAGAGGAAACAATGGCTCCCCTAAGCCAAAGAAGTTTGAAGTTGACCGGCGTGGCATTTCATAGTAGGTCAACACATCTCTCCCAAAGCTGTGTGTTCCCATGGTTAGTATCTGGCAGTGGGAATGCTGTTAAATTCCTTTGCTCTCTGAACCAGATACCGTTTCAGAATAAAATTGGTTCGCAGCAGGCTGCAAAGCAGAGCAGGCAGCGGCTGTTCCTCTCAACCAGGCAGGTAATAACTTACTGTCAGGAACACCTCCCAGCTGGGTATGCTTTTCCAGCTACAAAAGCTCATTTTTGTCTGCTATGTGTGCACTGTGTGCCCCTGCCATCAGCAGCACACCCAGCACATTCAGCTGCCTGGCTGGGGCTATGGCCTCCGCACTGGTCCTGCAGCTGTTACAGAGCAACAGAATGCCAGTAAGCCTTGCTGGGAAGACAAAACCCTTGGGCTGAGCAGGAATTTAAAGCATTTTTGGCCATAGCTCTTGCTTGAAGCATACAGTCAGATCTAGTGCTTGTCTCTCCATGGGAAATCCTGTCAGCTGGCTCTTCTTTGACATTTGACAGCTGCAATCCAGGCTCCTGTTCAAATGAACTACCTTGTGATGGTGGAGGCAGCCAGAAGAGTTGGATGTGTCCAATTTTCCTTGGAGGATGAGCAATGTGTTCTGCAGAGAAGATGTGTGAAATTCTTTGTATTTGATGATTACATTGTATGAAAAAAGAATCTCATGTCAGCTGATCCCAAGGCGGGCACTGATGCTGTAAGAAAGCAGTTCAGAGGAACAGCCCACTGTTATGTTGTGCTTTTGTGGCAGTTCACTAGAACTATTTCTGCCCTGAAGACCCAAAGCAGGGCTGTGCAGCAGGAG